CAGAGGATTTGATATAAAGTTGCATTAACCCGTAATATCCCGAATGATTTTTTACATAGGTGCACGCAAGTCATATGGCCCGATGATTCATGTCATAGTATGACAGTAATATGACGTTGACACTTGGATCATAGCGTCAGGTATTCTGTTCTCTCACGATGACATGTTGCAATCGTTCAATTTGTGTGAGTAACTAGGTTCACAAAATCGTCATAAGCATCACACGGATCCGCTGAAGCAGTGCATTACAGGATTAACATTACAGTAATAACACCCCAATGATACGAGATACAGGGGCCAGTCCAATTGCGAAGCCGATCGGACCAAAACGAAACTAACATCACCAGCGCGTTGGCACCTTTTGTGCGTCTAGGTTAAAAATCCTCACATTGTACTCTTGTAAGTGTGTAATGAAGCGCTGATAAAGGAGTCCCTTGTAGACCTTGTGGAACACATGTGGAACTGCGGTAATTTGCGGCAGGAACCCGACAACTTGAAATCGAAGCGAGAAAGGTTTCTTCGCAACCACGACCTTGCTTGCGGACCACTGCTAGGCTCGCAAGCAGGGTGGATTTTGTTTCTTTTTTACGGATCAAACGAGGTCGGCTTGTATGTGTGCAGTGTAGCGGAGTTGGCCGAATTTATTTATTTGTGTGTGTTTAATACTAATATTGGGGCATGTGATCAAAAGTGTCAGAATTCCCACGAATTGTTGACCTGAGCCGTAACACCGACGGACTTACGGTCTTACCCATCTCATCCGGCCACATTCTTAACTAGCCTACATGTGTATTTGGCCTTCGTATTTATGTAACCTAATCTATATATTAACTTCAGTTCTCTTCTCGTGATCTCCTCGTGATTTCCCCCGTGGCCTCTTGAGTTCAGCTTCCGAGTTTCTTGTCTCCGCCTAAATCCCGTTCTCACGGCTTAGCCTCCGATAGGTCCGTGACAGAAGTGGGAAGCAAGGTGGTCCAATTGACTCTATGGACCCACATCTTGAGCGCTTGCTTTTGTTCTTCGCAGCTCGGGATTTTGATCTTCCAGCTGGCCAGTACATGCTGTCTTTGTGGGCGCCATTGTACAGGAAGTTTCATTGGCTCGGGGTTGTGTTCCTCTTGTTGTTTAGGATGGTTAGCACTTTAGAACTCCTGTCAAGGTCGTGCTATCATGAGGCCATGACACCAAAATCACAGAAAACCATAATGAATTAGAAAGAACCGAAAAACACAAATTAGGATACCGTTTATTGCTATGTTAACCAAAGATTTCAGCCTTGACGTTCATTCGTGGCGCTGTCGATCAAGCAACCACGTAGGATGCAAGAAATTCATAGTGTACATCGCAAGGACGATCATGGAGCCATCGAGCACGTTGAAATACAGTTCAGTGGAGATGACTCTTCCTGTCCAACCGCCGTTGAGCTGTCAAAAGCTAATCAGCCACTTTGGACTGCCACATAAAGATATCGCAGGCAGCGCACCTCGATCGTTCGGTAGATGGATCGAATAAACAAGAATAGCGTGCTAAGGATGAGTCCACATAGCTGTAGTTTCACCTTTTGATGGAATTCATGGGGACGCTTCGGCTCTTGGCCATCTTCGACGATGCCTGGTTCCAGGCTTGGCGCGCTTACCGACACCAGGGGGCTATGAGTCGTATAACGCCAGAGGAATTCAGCCGCTAGGGCGGTATAAAATATAATGGCAACTGGAGAAACATATCATATCAGAAGAAGGGGATGACTGATATGGGCTATATGTATACCAAGTTGAAGGATGATACCGCCTTCCATAATGTGGGCACCATGTGAAGCGGCAGCATCCGTCGAGGCCGCCGATGCCATACCCCCACCAATGGCTTGTATTACCAGCGAAATGGTATCTATCACAATGAAGAGGGTTGCATCTGTAAGGCCTTATCAGCTTGGTTGAAGGGGATAATGACGGTACACGTACAGAGCTTGGGTGAGAGGCGGCTGTACTGAGTCCCGTACACCTTCACAATAACACCAAAAATGAGGAAATTCGCAGCGCTCAGGAACGTAGGCCTATTCGAGGGATGTGGTAATCAAGACAGGATCTGAACTTGGGCATCATCACGTACGATATGATGGTGGTTGATATTTGGATCTGGAACGGTGGGTAAGAAGGAGGGTTGATCGAGCTCCATAGGCGACCGCTCCATCCGATTAGCTCCCCAACGCCACACAAGACCACAGTTGCAATCAGATACCAGTGACGCCCCAAGACACTTTGTACACAGTGAATCACTGGAAGAATGCCTCAGCCCTGTCATTACCATGCATGTGGAACATATATTTGCATACCAGTGGAGACACCGAAGAGCACGATCATCAAGATACAAATCCACTCAGTGGGACCAGCATTGCGTCGCCCGTCGGGAAGGGAGTAATTGTAAGGACTGGTGCGGTTGGGGTCAGGGTCGACGCGAGTCATTATGCACTGTGATGAACTGCGCTGTGAGTGGGTCGTAAGATAGCTGGAAGAGTTCGACAAGTCAAGGGGGCGACATGGGCCCTTTTTATAGCCAAAGGGAAGCAGTGACCAGTTAGCGCGTCAGAGTCTCAATTTTGAAATTATGGGGCGCAGGTCAGAGGACTGGGAGGTCGCTGACCAAAGTCCCCATGAAGAACATGAAGGCACAGAACGAAGATATGGATGAACCAAATCCACCCTTTCTCGCAAGTGTACGAGTCGAACAAATAACCTGTGGGCTGCCCTGAAAATGCGGCGCCTAACTTGGAAGAGTTACCCCTTGGTGGTTGGGTTGGGGTTGGGGTTGGAGGGGGTGCTTTCCTGGGGTCCACAGCCATGGAAAAAGCACTGCTTTTAAGTTTTCAGTCGACATGAGGAGATCTCGAGGTGCGTTTAACGAAGAGTGGTTCAACGTCATGACCAGGGGCGAGATGACTTTTCTACTCAATGGCCCCTGGATTGCCAAGTCTTTCCAGATGCGGTACAGTGTCCGACTGCGGCAGTGTGATTTATCTTCGGGAAAGTGGTGGTTTCATTCAATCCGATTCCTTATAGCATAGATATATTCAACTAGAAAGGCAGCTTCGCAACCATGGCCTTGCTTCACATGATATTTTCCTGATCGCAATCACGAGGAGCTCAGAGTTTGTGCTGAACTAGTAGTTTTGAGAGAGGAGAATGACAGTACTGAGTTAAATCAGAGTAGTTGACAAATATAAAAAAATTGAGCTTGTTGAGTTGAATCACGGAGAGGACATTGGAGAACAATGAGAAGGTCAAAAGTGGCTGGCACAAGTGATACACATTGTCTCTCCCTTCGGCGCTTAATGGGAGAGGTAAGAAAGACGGTCCGGAGAATCGCCGCTTGGAGGGAGACCCACTCTCCGCATAGTCACTGACAAGGGGGGGGGGGGTTCTCTAAGAGCAATTATCTCCTCTATACGTGTGGAAAAAGTCGCTTCCTTCCCAGCATTACTTCCTACCAAATAATATGCCAGGGTGAAAAAAATTTGTCTATATAATGTTACGAAGTCATAGAGGCCGAGGGAGTGTATGCTTGGAGAAGACAAGGGATGCACTAAACGCCTGAGGTTATCGTTGGTCAGAGACAGAAACAAGTCACGTTAAGCAAGCATCACGAGGTCTAATGTAAAATTAAAACATGTGATGTGGAATTTGCAACAGTCATGCAAGTGGTGTCAGTTTTCGGTATTACCTTGCTTTCAAGGTCAGTTGTGATTCTTAGACTGCGAGCAGCTTTCGCTAGGTGGGAAAATCTTCCAGAGTCCGGATCTCTGGTTCAGACTAGGTGCTCAAAAATCGCCCGTACCTCTCCTCGCTGGATCCCGGTGGTCCACTTGTGCTTTACGACTGCGGCATCAATCACGGCCCTTCGATCGGGGGACAATGGATGTTTCGAGCTCCCAAACTTTATGATGGTGGAATGGCCCAGGAAAAGTAGAACAGATTAGTCAAGGGATTGCGAAGCTAGCTAGATCCATTTTGGGCAAAGAGCTCTTTATTACGACATGAAACTTAGTCATGGGTTGTGACGGAAAGGATTTCGTGTACATAGAAGTGAGGTAGGTGATATTATTTCCTTAGGGGAGGTGTGATTGTTCAGTAGCAAGGCTGTCGCTTTACTACAGCGTTGTTGTAAAGTTAGCAACTTTACCCAGATGCACTGGGGACGTTCCATAACTGGAAGTGGATCAGTAATTTGTCTCTAGGTGACTCGCGAGATCATACCACGCGTCAGATCGCACCTAGGCAGCTACCACTGGAGGATGCCCTCGCCTAGCGACTTCCAAACATTCCTCTTCGAGTCCTGACACCCAGACGACTTCGATTCCCGCGGCCTGCAGTTTGGTCGCGCCCTCACACTTCACAAAGTCCGCAGGCTCACCAACTCCAATGATGCAACGACGAACGTTCGCCTCTATCAGAGCGTCAGCGCAAGGTGCGAGCCCTGAGAGTCGGACTGAGCATGGTTCCATGGTAGTGTACACATCAGCGTTTTTCAGCAACTCTTCAATTTCCGGGGGTGACTCCTCTCCAAGAAGCTCTGAAAGCTTTTGAGAAGTTAGACTACGGGTTTTAGTGAGTGCGTTTGCCTCAGCGTGAGTGTTGCCCGGAAGTTCACGAGAGAATCCGGTCTCGAGGACGATGGGAACATCAGAAGTCGAATGTGGGACAGTGATTACGCATCCAACACAGAACGCAGACGGCGTTGGTATGCATTCCTTGGCGCGCTCTAGCGCAAGCTGAAGAAAGAGCAAGCTGTTGGACATGTGTGGGCACTAAAGCGAACCCCGGAACGGTCCGATTCGGCGGTTGGGTTGAACTCCTTGCCAGAATGCGGCGCAAAAGAATTCAAGCGAAGTGTTAGACTGAGTATGATTAAAATGTGCGAATTATCAGGATGGGAAACAATCTGTGAGGAGGAGGCCATATGAGTGTTCACATGTTCAAAGCGCCCAGCGCCGTCCAACCACCCAACCCGTATTGCCTCCAAGCCTAGTAACCTCTTTGTTTCCTTGTTCTACGTGTCTATCTTTAGCCTATTCCTCCCACTTACGCCTTCAAAACGTCCCTCTCTTACAAGAGAGGCGACCAGAAGTGGAAAATTTGAAGGGAAAATCACGTGTTCTGGCGCTTAAGTGGTCACTACACTGGCACTCGACTGGCCGATTTCCCTGCCCCTTCTCTCAGGAATAATCGGCTCTTGGGGTGTCTTTCTTCTCAAAGGCTCTGGGGACATTGAGGGTCTGTAATCTGTGAGATGGCTTCTCCAGACTTAACCCTGGACTCACTTTCGGCGCAATTTCCTCTGACTTGGCCTATTCCTACACCACTGAGGAATCCCGATCTTCTGACACCAAAAGATATTCATAGAGAGGAAGATCTGCTCAGAAATGCCTCTTCATTTCGTCTTTGGTGGACAACCATAGCTGCAGTAAGGGATAGCGTTGTCGCTGAACAAAAGGCTGCACCTGCATCTTCTCTTCCTACTCCACTCACATCCCTTATTGGACCCCTTTCCACGCCCGCGGCACGCCTTGGGCTCCAGAAACTTACCTACCTTTACGAGTCTGCCCTCACTCACTTTCCTTCCTCCTTCAAGCTATGGAAAGCCTACCTTCAGATGCGGTGCTTATATGTGTTTGGAAGAGGCTCAAAACCGAAGAGAGCTGGTGGGAGAAATAAATGGGCAGATATGAAGGTGCTTATGGAGGAGGAGGAGTTTGAGTTTGAGCAATATCAGAGTGGACTCGATCCCGTCGTTGGATGGAGCGAATGGAAAGCTCTGATTGCTGTCTTCGAGCGTGCGTTGATGTGGCTTCCAACGGTAAGGTTGAGGCGATTGGATTTTTTTTTAGCCGCTCAAGTATTCTGATATTCCTGCTAGATGCCGAGAATATGGTTACTGTATGTCAATCTGTTTACCCATCCCCAATGTCCAGCCCCAATACAATACACCCATGCTCGAAGAACATTTGATCGTGCTCTTCGGACTCTTCCACCATCTTTGCATGCACGAATTTGGCCTCGGTATTTGTTGTGGGCCGAACTAAAAGGTGGCATGACCACCGTTGTCATATACCGACGGTTCCTCGCCATTGATCCGTCCCTCACCGAACGATATGTATCCCTCCTCCTTCATGGAAAGTCAGGCTCTGAACTGGAAGAGGTTGGGAGTGATGACGAAGAGCCAGGGGTCAAGACGCAGTTCCAGCTGTTACGGACCAGAGGGGCGCAGAACGAGGTCGAGCCTCGTCCTCTGGAGGCTGCTAAACTTTTGTTGTCTTTAGCACGGAAAGCAGCTCGAGGAGAGTATACGTCGCCGGAAGGCAAGTCTCCTTATCAGCTGCTTGGTGAATGGCTGGACGTCTGTGAGCGTTTTGCGGACGAAGTGGGTTTGGAGCCTGAGGTGGCAGATGCGGAGCGCGCCGCCGCCAAAGCGTCCAAGGACAAGCTCGCTAAAAATGACGCTGAGCGATCAGGCAAAGAGCAGGATGGCGGCCCCCCCAGCTCGGCACTTGGTGGTCCATTGATCCGCTTTGCTGGGCTTCCCACATCTGCCACCCCCCCGTCGAGACCGTATGACAAGGACGAAGATCCCGCGAATCCTTCCCTTCTCGACGTAGGGAGGATTGTGAAAGAAGACGGTTTGGCCATCTATAAGGACCAAGCAGGAAGACTTTGGAGTGGCCTTGCCACATATTGGACAAAACGGGGCGAATTTGACCGAGTACGTTCAATCCACAATCTGACAGTCATGTATCTCAACTCAACATTAATTTCCCACCCAAAGGCGCAGGCCACATTCGAAGAAGGAATTGCAACCGTGTTGACCATTCGGGACTTCACCCAAATATTCGATGCATATGCCGAATTTTCGGAATCGGTTGTGTCAGCTTTGATGGACTCACTCGCGGATCCCGAGGAAGACGAAGACGAAGGAGCTCTTGCGGACACTGAGAAAGAGCTTGATGAGCGCATGCGAAAGCTCGAAGAGCTGATGGACCGGCGACCCTTCCTTGTCAACGATGTTCTGATTCGTCGTAATCCCAATGATGTGCAAGAATGGGAGAAGCGGGTGGCACTGTGGGGTGACGATGACGATAAAGTACGTTGAACACTTTGCGTCCCTAACAAGTTTTGCATCGGCTAAAGCTCGGGGGGGAGCGAAGGTGGCAGAGACCTACACTCAGGCGATGGAGACCATTAACCCCCGGAAGGCCACGCCCAACTACCACAATATTTTCGTCAACTTCGCCAAGTTTTATGAGCAAGGAGGAGTGACGGGCACCGCTGTTCCGGACCTCGACAGTGCCCGACGAGTTTTCGAGAAAGGTACAAAGACACCGTTCAGGACTGTGGAAGAATTAGCAGAAGTGTGGTGCGAATGGGCTGAAATGGAAATCCGTAATGAGTCAGTTTATTTTGGATATTGTTTTTTTTTTGACGTTTACTTATCCTGACCTTAATGCCTTTTTTGAAAGAAATTATGACGAAGGGATTCGTGTGATGCAGCGCGCAACCGCGATACCGAAGAACACCAAAATTAGCTACCATGATCAAGTGCGTCCGTGGTTTTTTTTTTTGCACTGTTTCCATGGGCTAACACTCTAATATCTCCTGCAGTCGTTGCCTGTCCAAGCCAGACTGTTCAAGTCGCTTAAACTTTGGTCTTACTATGTCGATTTAGAGGAATCTATTGGTACTGTCGAGACCACCAAGCGCGTCTACGATCAAATGCTGGAACTTCGTATCGCCAATGCTCAGGTATGGGGGCTTGGTTGTTGGATGATCCGACCTCATTGTATGTCCCCAGATAATCGTGAACTATGCTGCATTCTTGGAGGAAAACAAATATTTCGAGGAAAGCTTCAAGGTGAGCTAATAACGTTCTTGAGCTGGTTCCGTTCCTAAATCCTAACCCATAAAAGGCTTACGAGCGTGGTGTTGAAGTTTTCACCTACCCTATATCATTTGAGATTTGGAACAGCTACCTGTCCAAGTTTGTGAAGCGTTATGTAAGTTTGACAAACGAACCTCCGTTTAGTCCCGATGACGAGCAATTGCCCAGGGAGGCACAAAGTTGGAACGCGCACGCGATTTGTTTGAACAGGCCCTAGAAAAATGTCCTGAGAAATTCTGCAAGCCCATCTTCTTCATGTATGCTCAGCTCGAGGAGGAACATGGCTTGAGCAAGAGAGCGATGAAAATCTATGAGCGGGCCTCTGAGGTTGTGGCGGACGCCGACAAATTTGAGGTACGGGTTTTCGCTTCACAGAAGAATAGCTTTAATGACGCGCTTTATAGATATTCACCGTCTACATTGCGAAAGCTACGGAAAACTTCGGACTGCCTGCAACACGTCCAATCTACGAACGTGCTTTGGAAGTTTTGCCAAACCGTCAGGCAGCGCAGATGTGTTTGCGTTTCGCCGCTCTCGAACGCAAGTTGGGTGAAATCGACCGTGCGCGGGCCATCTATGCCCATGCGTCCCAATTTTGTGATCCTCGCGTGGAGCCGAGGTTCTGGACGGGATGGAATTCGTTCGAGATCGAGACCGGCAGTGAGGATACCTTCCGGGAAATGCTTCGCATCAAGCGCAGCGTTCAAGCCCAGTTCAATACTGCAGCATCTTATTTGGTCGCCAAGACCGAGAATACAAAACAAGGGACTAACGAGCAAGACACCGCTTCAGGCCCACCACTGGATGCCATGGCAGCTGCCGAGCGTGCTACGCTGGACAAGCCCAAAGGACCCTCTTTCGTACCCGCCAAGCAGAGTTTGGCAAATGCGCCTGCGGTGGCCGACGACGAGCCAAGTGCACCTGCAACAAACGCAGACGAAATCCAGATCGATGATGAATTTTAGTTTGTAACTCGGGTCATCCCCCCCCCCAATATACACATGAGCTACAATGCATTTTTGATTCCTCACTTATTCTTTCTGATTCGTCCGGCAAAATATTGTCCTAATCCATGAGGCAGCCTGCACAGCAATAATAATCACACAATGACCTGACACAGCCACGAAATCCGTCTTGACAACATGGACCATGTCAATGTAATGCTGCAGCCACTCGCCTCCCCAGAGCAGGCCAAAGAGACACCATCTATGACAGATGGTTTGCCAAGGGAACTCGAGGAAGATCTGCGTGCCTATGGATGTAAACTCATACAGCAAGCCGGTTTACTGCTCAAACAGTGAGTTTGTATTACGCCAAAGCTTGTCTACTCAGTAGGCCACTTTCAAGATTGAGATAACTTATCTAACGTATTTTCTTCGCATCACACGTTGCGTTTTCCTGGTCGACACCCTTAGGAAGCAGGTTGCTATAGCCACAGCCCAAGTACTATTCCAACGTTTCTGGTATGTTTCTTCGATGAAACACTTCAGCATTGGGGTCAGTGGGCCATTCTTTTAAGCCATGTCTACATTGGACACCACCTCTGTCACTGTGAATCTTCCCTGCGCAGGACATTGGTATGGGCGCGCTGTACTTGGCTTCAAAGTTGGAGGAATGCCCCATTCGTATGAGGGATCTTATCAATGTTTACGATCTCTTATTGTCTCGGGCGCGGCATCAATACCCTCCACTCTCGGGTTCGCCCTCAAAGCATTCATCGACGAATACAACACCCCATGAACAAGACGCCACCTTCAAGTATACGCCCATGTCGTATTTCTCACAGACGTTTTATGAGCTTAAGGACGCCCTCGTGGTGGGCGAGATGCAGATATTGAAGCGACTCGGCTTCAATGTGCGAGTCCAGCTACCATATGGGACTATGATAAATTATCTCCAAGTGCTAGGCCTAGCGGGCCACGAAAAAGTGCCACAGACTTGTTGGAACCACTTGAACGATGCGTCAGTGCTATCCTTCTGCTTAAAGAGTGAATGCTAATATTTGTACAGCTTGCAAACACCTGTCTATGCACTATTCCCCTTTCCTACGCTGGCATGTGCCAGCATACTCATCACAACACGCATTCAGGGAATACCCTTGCCAGATGGCTGGTATGAACTGTTCGATGTGGAACATGAGGACATGCTCGCTGTCGCCGACCAGGTCCTACGACTCTATCGGGAACGAAGTGAGGAGGATAAAAGAAGATGGACACTGCTTGGTATAGGAGGGAAAAAGGCAGTGCGTAAATGGCTTGATGAAACCGGAACTTCCGATGGGTCATGAATCGTCGCAAGGTTACATTGACGTACTCAAACTAGGCATACATATCCATGCCTCGATACATACCCAATGCAGAACAGCTCCCCACCCATGCATCACTTTTTACGCCGCCGTCCTAATGTACCCTTCTTAACATGTCCTGGGATCCACTCGTTCTCCGGTTCAGAAGACGCTGCCGCAGCACGACGCGCCTGTGATCTTGTTTCTCGTTTGGGTAAGACATTGGGAGATTTAACTTTTGGCTTCCCCCCTGAATCATCAGTCCCCTCGCTAGAGGTGGCTTTCGCATGCTTCTCTTCCACGGCTCTGACAGCTTCTTCGATCTCTTCCGGACTGACCCTCTCGCCTCGACGCAGACGTTCTGCAATCTCAGGTGTCACCTTTATCTTGCGCGTATTGGTGAGAAACCCTGGCGCTCCTTTCCCAAAGCCTGTTTTAGATGGTGGGCGAATATATGTTTTGTCCACATAACGAGCGAAGGCAATGAGAGCAACTAGAGCAATGCCATAGGCCGGAAGTCTGTGACATTGGGATATTATAATAAGCAGGTTTCCAAGTAGAACCCTCACTTACAGAGCAGGATCAAGCCATCCCGTGCCTGAAGGCGTGAGTTTGGACGATGTACTCGACATGGAGTTGAAGCTTCCGGGACACGTCACGAGTGGCTCCCACGGTTTTTGGGCATGGGACAATTCAGTGCCATTGCCTGTGTCGGGCGTCTCAGCTGCTATGGAGTCAAGCGACGAGTCCTCCAAAGGACTCACCGCCCAGGAATGTCCGATAGACCATTCGTCAGATGCGTGGAAAAATATGACACCACCGACTGGCCATCCTCCTGTTACCCCACACTCTCCCGCTAAACTCTCGCAGGAGCGAGAAATATCATCAATACCTCGGACTGATGGATCTAATTGGGCATACCCATCGCAGGTGCAATTTTACTCAGCAATGGCTCGGAAGAACCACAATCCCCAGCCATCCGACATGCGGGTTCTTGTGCCCATACACAATGCTGTCAATGAGCGTGCTTGGAGCGAGTTAATGTGGTGGGAGAAGGGTCAAGGCGGAGAGAAGTGTGGTGGTGTCAAGTTGGTTAGTTTCAAAGGCCGACCACAGGATAGGACGATTCGTGCCTGGTTCAACATCATGTTAGGGTGAGTCGGGCACTAGCGCTTGGCCTTAGCATTTCTGTGCTATATGACTAAAGATTAAACACAGGTATCAAGCACCTTTTGATCGGCATGACTGGATAGTTGAGAGATGTGGCGTACGACAACGTTACATTATAGACTTCTACACAGGGCGCAATGCGACGCCTACTACTTTTGATCAGAAACAATCGGATCCATCATCTCCCCCTAACCTTTCCTTCTACCTGGACGTTCGACCAGCTGTTGATAATTGGGATGGTTTCCGGCTCTGTGCGTTGAAGTTCTGGGAGTCGATCGTCAGATAATCGTGTATGGGAGGATGATTCGCTTGCTGTAATTGTTATTTAAGCCTAGAAACAATGTTATTTGCCTTCATCAATATTGCTATTTCAGCTGGGCTTCTTGTATCCAATGGCACCGTTCAGCCTGAAGTACGCTCGAATCGGTACTGAATAAGACCAGCCGCACAGCATCGGGTAGAGCCGGCTTCAGCTTGGGTTGCTCCAACCAGCTTGCACTATAATTACAACTAACGTAGGACAATGCTGTACATCGATCCAACCATTTCCGGGACTCCTTTGCCTCCTGGTGCACGCCCAGGCATCTGGTGTGACATGTGCTATTCCTCCCTGGGGACCACTAAGCGCTACAAGGTATGCTTAATATTTGATGTTTCCATGTTCCGCGTCATGATAGGTTTTACATCTAGTGCACATCTTGCTCTAATTTCGATTTAGTACGTGCCAATTTAAGCGCCCCATACACTAATTAATTGTGTCTGACAGTGTGACAAATGCGATACTAAAGTAAGATCGTCAGTGATAATTCACAACTCCAGTCATAAGTTTGTGCTGGTTACCCCTCAAAACATGGTTCCACGTCACCAAGGCGTCGACCACAATTCGTATTGTGATATATGTGCCAAAGGCATCTTTGGGATCCGTTACCGATGTGAAGTCTGCGACCCTTCGTTCGACATGGTGTGTCGTTCAGCATGTGTCCCGCTTTTGTTTAACAACTAGTTTTCCCAGTGTGGCGTTTGTTTTGAGCATAACAGGGCCACGCACGACACTCAGCATGACTTCAGAGCCTATGCCAGAGAAGAGGATACTCCCGAGGCAAAGGGCGCACCTGCCAGATCGGACCCACCCCCTTATACAAACGAGGACCCGATAAATGTGGCAGCCTTTGGTCTTCCTGAGACATTGTGCGGTAACTGTCAGAAGACGGTAACTGGAAAGCGCTACCAATGTAGTGACTGCGATACTGGATATGTCCTTTGCGAGTCTTGTTACAAAAGGGGCTTTACAGAGCATATCCCGGGGGTAAAGCACGCCTTTGTCGAGATTTCCGCCCCTACTCGATTAGCTATCCATGTCGTCAACGACATCGAGCATGCTGGCACCCAAAGGTTGCTTGCGCTGCACTATGCGAACTGTGACATCTGCATGAGGCCCATTACTGGCGTGACTCGCCATAAGTGCCTTGTTTGTCCCGACTTTGACGTGTGCGCTAATTGTATGGATACTCACCGTGACCGTCATGACGTATCGCATCCTTTCATCGGTTTCGGTGTTTCAAAGCCATGGATAATTAGATGCATGGCGTTCACAGAAAGCGTTGGCGGCGTACCTACCATTACACCAGCTTCGATCAGTAGCCCTGTTGAACCAAATGTACCAGCAGTCCATCCAGCACGATGCAACTTGTGTTTGAAGAGCATTGTTGGCATCAGGCACAAATGCTGTGCATGTCCTGGTAAGCGGACTCTGTTCTGTTCGTCATGACCGACTTGGGTACATTTGTAACACGAAATCTTTTCAGACTTTGATTCCTGTGAAAGTTGCTTCTCGTAAGACTCATTCTACGATATTCGAGGCTCTAATCTTAATAGTTGGTGATTTAAGACGAATTTCCACCGCTCACCCCGCACACCGCTTCGTCCACGTTAAGGACCCAAAGGATCTAATGCCTCCTCAAAAGAAGTCTGATACTCCCCACGGGATCTCTTGTAACAATTGCCAACGCCCCATCACCGGTATCCGATACAAGGTACGGCATTCTCTCGGTATGATGCTTGGAACTCATTCCCTCCCAGTGCATGACATGCGAGAACCCCGTCAATTTTTGCGAAAATTGCGAAGCATCCCCCGTCCCCGTCCATCCAACCTCACATCCCCTTGCCAAGTTTAAGGAAGTTTCCTCCGGGAATGATGGCTTCACGTCGGTTACCACTCGCGTGCTCAAGAAGGATCGAACGACCTCAAACCGAACACAGCCGCTCACTGAATCAAATCTTGATAGATGGAATACAAATCGTGCGGTGCCGTCTCCTCCGCGTCGTCGAGTTCCATCCGAGTCGGATACGCGGAGCACAGTTACGAATACTACGAACACTACGAACACCACCACTCGCAGATCAGCACTGACGGAGGAACCGGATCAATGCCCCGTATGCTTCGAGGAACGGAAGGGTCAGATGGTCGCCGGATCATCCTGCGGGCACATGCTTTGTCGAGACTGTCAGAACGATGTACTGGCGGTTGCGAAGTCGACTGGTGATAAGCCGAGGTGCTATTCCTGTCGACGGTTATATGACTGAGGGGCTTCATGTTTATGATTGTATCGGCTTTGCCTTGTGTTTCGCTTTTGGATTCAAATTTGACTATGCATGCGACTTCGTATACGCGTGGAAAACGCTGAACTCGGCCAACGAAATCCAAAAGCGCATGGTCTAAGATGCCTTGATTTGTTTTCCACCGGCAGCGCTGTGTGAGTGCGCTCGGTCAACAAGTCTGCGAGGTGTCAAAACCATGATGAGGTGCCAGCCATCGTTGGTATCCCCAACAAGTTGGTGATTTCGGGTCACATTGTGCCACGAGCTTCACATAATACACTGGTTGAACCCTCGGCGCGCGAGGCATTATTTCTTTCCCCCATGTCTTTCAATTTTTAATGGCGAAGGAAATGGGCGGAACGAGTTGCAACTGCCTGGCAGATATCGGGAGAAACGGCTGAACAAAATTTTGAACTTAGCGAACAAGCCCGAGGCCGATCATACCCATTTCTGCGCTAGAAGTTCGAATACATTGGGCGCACGTGTTGTTGCTCAGTAAAAAACGGGCGCTTTGACCTTGACTTCGCCTGATCATATCGAGCTCATGCTGGAAGAGTTTTACCCAAGTGTGCAGATTGCCAAAAACCACAGGACACACAGCATAATGCAAGCTGGTCACTTTGAGGTGATGGCAATGTTCAACCCAATGAGACGACTCAACTTATCTAATGAGGCACATGTCTTATAGCTCTCCATAACGTCTTTTGTTACGGCCGGGGCGGGTTTCACAATAGACTAAGACCAGACCAAATTAACCGTAACTGAACATCGTTAACGCCTGGATGTCCAGGCGCTACGATATTTCAGCTATGAAATTCCGCTCTGCTACCTCCGTCGATGCTTCCAAGACAGACCTTTGGTGGGGAGCATCAGGCTCACAGATTGGGATGAGATTATGCTCTTGACTCTCCTCAGAGTCGCCCTTCTTTTTCTGCGACTTCGATTGTCAAGTTACGACGGAGGACACACATCCACTGATCCCTGACGGAGCCTCCTAAATAAGGGTATTTAGGGATACTCTGCTTAAAGGGAGCCTGGCTAGTCGTTCCAACTTCATCCCCGAGCGTAGATTCACCACAAACACAACATCGGTCTGTGTTCGGGATGAGTCTATCCCATGATTGGCAGACCGATGGCGCCCGCCTGTTATGTTGTTTTCCTGGGTAATTATAAACACCGAGCTGAATCAATACGAGCCCCAGACAGCATAGCATCATAGAGCTCAGGCGGAGGGCAAGATTCGAAGCAGAGGCTGCCAGACAAAGGTTAGGGGCGTCCTGTCCGAACGAAGTTTCCGCCTGAGCATGTCATTTGCACTATGATGCGTGTTATAAGCGCCCGAAGTGGCACCACAGCGGCGTGGAGAGCGTACGCAGCACGATGAAATGGGACAGAAGCTCTGGAGGGGGCGGAGGCCACCTATAACCTATCTGGCTCTAGTAGGCGGCACATGTCATGCCTGCGATCAGTGGCGTGGACTTCGGATAACGGTTAGCCAAATGGAGGAGGTCTTATCTGCTGCGCCCTCCAAATCAAAATATTACAAATTTGCTACCTGAGCCTTCACAATATCTGACCTGCATGGATACCAAAGCCCTACGTCCCTCTGTTGTGGGGTGTCCATCACTTCGAGATATTTAATAGGAAGTCTTACAACCGGCGTGCTGCCATGTGAATTGTGAAAAGAGTGTCACGACTCGCGAAAATCAGCGGAGTAACAGCGCGTGACACCTTCCACTCCCTCTCGTCAAGGAATGCCCTTCCTCAGGCCCAACGACGTGAGTTCCCGTCCTCGTCTCATTTCGGAGATATCTGGACTTGCGTGATGGCAATGCTCCCCGGGGCAAACACGAGACTGTCCCCAAGTTCCAGACGCATCCTCATACCCATATCGTTCATTCCAGATCTAGACCTCTCACTTTATTGACCCGATAACCAGCAGCAGGATTGTTTTCAAATCAAACAATGCCATCTTTCAAGTCAAATGCCGTACTTCTCTCGGTCGACTGTTCGGAGCCTTCGGCTTCCTGGAATTGTGGTTCAGCTGCCAGAACTGGCTTGAGCATGATCTACCATGGGTCATGAGCTAGAGCGTGACTAAACCCAGTGACAAGCTCAATGCTGTCTCTGGGGCAGCAACTTCGCAGCGTTTCTGCTTATTTCACTACCAGATTCCATTTTTGCCTAACAAGCTGCGAACTACTTGAAGGGGTACTGTATGCGCAAGATTCTGAGATCACCCGTTGTTTGCACTGATCTCTATCACGTTTCCGCCCCTGTCTCCTCTCTCCAATATCTGTCTGACTCGTTACCCGTCCGGAAAAATGTGTGTGAGTCTGGCCACGCAGATCGTCGTTGGGGAAGATGGACCCTTGCTAGCCAGCGTTTGCTTATCTGTATGTGGGCACAGTGGAAGACTTGAACCAGAATGGCTTAACTTCATCACAACAGGATTACTCTGGGTCAATTATTCTGGATGTTCTGGTCCAACCCACGGAAGAAGTCATAGACTATCTTACAGAAGGCACAGGCTTTCTGCCTTCGCACTTTGTCCTTGGCGGTAAAAACACACATTCATGCATGTCCACGCCAGCTTCATGACGACCCGATTTTTTTAGACGATGTCTTGGAATTCCAGGATGTCCGTCAAAGGGTGCAGGATACCATTCATGGTCAAAATCTAGTCGGCTATGAGCTTTGGATGTCTCTGGAGGTATCGTCTTTCTACCTAGTACTCTTGTCTACGAAATTAAGCCATCTCCAGTCCCTCCAGCTAAGGCATCCCGCTAACAAGACTCGAGATGTTGCGACGTACCTACCTTTACTAGAGGGACTGATTCCAGGGTAAGAGAGATTCGAACGTCGTGTAGTTTCAAGCATCTGATGTTTACATTAGGGAGGACAATTTCAAGGAAATGGTACGACAATTTCTCGGCCGAGACATTCATGAGCGTATTGAGACTGCTGTACGTGATTTGGGGTTTTTATAAATTATTAACTGAGGCACTCGTTCCACAGACGGAGGATTCTTTCGCTGCTATGGCGCTGTTCAAGTTATGCGAAACCGATTGGGAGGCGTCGATTACAAATAACGTTTGGCCCTGCATTCTTCCTCCGCCAGAATACCTCCAATGGTACACTTAATAGGTCCGCTTGCATCCTTCGATGGTTTGAACCGAAACTGTCGTCTTGTCTTTCCAATTGAAGCACGTCAGAGTATGCTGTCCAACATCACAATTGCATCTGTTTGAAATTATGCGTCTAGAGTGTTCCACCAATGAATGCGTTTGCCAGCAGGTTCTAGATGCTGGGGAATGTTCTTTACACCCGCAACCCATCACATCCTTCCATCTAAATCGTACGTGCCAGATTCTGCTGATCCCAACATGGCACTTCGAGGATGTGCTGATTCAGTCTAAAAAGTCCTATCGGTGCTTTTCAGGACGTCGCTCCACTCGATCATGGTTTGATTCATCTCGGCCATCCTGTCACGGACATCCTTTTCAGCATCAGACCCAAGAAAGAGTCTTTTTGGCCATGGCCGAATATTACTTTCCGTAACGTCCCCTGCGTGGTCCTCGCTACTGGAAGTGGAACGCTCTCCCGTCATGATCCCTTCGCCTCCGACGACCGCCGTGACCACTTCAGCAAGCTTATCAGGATCACCTAACTGCGTGCCGGGCAGTTTTTTCATCCGCGATTCTAGATCGCGGCGGAATGCATCATAGTCTGAGATGCGAATGTGATTAGGGTGAGATGGCACTATCACGGGATTCCCGACTATTCCTTCGGTGTGGAACCCCCCTGGAATGAGAGTGAGGACGCGGATGTTAAATGGAGCAACTTCAGCTGCTAGCGTCTCTCCCAATACTAAACATTGCGTCGGGTTAGTAACGATGAGGACAAAGGATCGAGTTCAAAAGAATTACAGTTCACCGCAGCTTTTGAAGTCGAGTACGCGCCAATTCCCTATTGCGAATGAATATGAGTTGATCGGTAATACCTGAAATTCTACGGGACACGCTCACAGGTGCGATTCTCCAGCCTGATCGACTGCCCATGATAACAATGATGCCTGAGACCATGTTAGAGAGTGAGAATATCGTTGTAGGGCGCAGTCGAACAACACACCCTCTCTCCGTTGCCTCATACATGGCAAGAATGCCTTTGCGACCGCCAAAACGCCAAATACGTTAACTTTATACTGTTGTTCCAAGCCTTCTGGGCTGGGTTAACGCGTTGGGTTGGGTTGGGTTGTTTAGAGCGAATGACGAATATATAGGTATGACAAGAAGGGCTGCTTACCCTATCTCCTCCAGAGGTCCAAGTACTCCAGATCCCGCATTGTTCACAACTATGTCCACACGTTTGTAAACGGCCTCCGCATCCTCCGCTACTTTGTTAATGACATCCATCGGATCGGTTACGTCAAGCCTCATAACTGTCGCTCCTGCGGCCTTGAGGTCATCGAGATGCTCAACTCTACGTGCAGTGGCTATCACTTTGTCGCCAAGCGCAAGAGCTCTGTGGGCAATGCGTCTCCCAAAACCCGATGAGCAGCCCTATCAAGGGGGTGATTGGACGAAATTTTGCATTTAGAGATTGAGGCGCATCGTGATACACGGCAGGATCGGTGATCAGAATTCAGAACGGCAGCTTGGGTGGCCGTTCGTACCGTAATAAACCAAACTCGTGTTTTGTCCATGGATGAAGCTACAGCGGGAAGTTGCGGATTCAACGAAGCTGTTTACTTCCTAGTTATAACACGGGGGGCCACAATATCTCTAGCAGCCCAGAATCCTTTTCTGGCAATCGCAATATCCCTTCCTTAGAGAGAGGCTGGTCACCTGCCTAGCGATAGACGAATAGACGAATAAATTGGCCCACTCCACTACCCTGTAGCTAAGGTAAGACATACAAATCGACCTCGTTGGCCCGTAAAAGAGAGAAGGAAAGCAAAATGGGTAAACAAAATTGGTCACGTGTGACTATTTCCTCTGCTCACGGTGTTCTTGCATACACGGCAATAGAGTCGTTCAGGGTCCAGCCACGGGGATGCGGGGGTGGATGCCGCTTAGAAGACCTATCTTGCGGTGTTGCTGTCATTGGCTTAAGTTTTAGTAGGGCCTAGAGCGTTGCCTCCTTTCCCTGCGCACTAGTGGCCCAACTGCCGCATGGGTCGTGGGCAGGCAACAAAGGGAATATGATCGTCTATCAGCCGCTTATCTCAACCAAAGGCAGTGACTCTTAATCAAGGGGGGCGTTTTGACAGTTGAAGTCGGGTATTATTGGAAGGGACTATCTACTCGAATTTGAGTCGCCTTGCATGTGATGCTGGTTGCTGTGCCGTCGTGGGGGCTCCCCTTAATTCAAGCATGCGGCCTGTTGTCAACTTATCCCTTGATTATTGACTCAGCGGCCCACTGTGTGTAGGGAAATTGGACGATTGTGAACCGACCAGCATGTATGCAGTCACGACATAACGTTGCTCAGCCATACATGCCAAAACATTTTGGGGTTCGCCAAACCAACTTGACTGGACGCACAATGGGCGCGTGCTTCGGGAAGGGGTTAGTTGTTCACTGAACAAACACCCGAGGGGTTTCCTTGATGCAATGCCGAGATTACTAGGTGGTAATTGTATGACGCTTGTTTCCGTCAACGCACTGACCCCAAAAATTGGCTGTATTATGTTGTATCAATATCTCTGTAGCCCTCCCGGGGGCATGGTGAAGTGACTACAAACACATAGATCCAAAGTAGGCGGTTGGACGGCGTTCTGCGTATAAATAGAGGCTGCTGTGTCCTTGCGCCATCCGATTCCATTTTTCTTGCTAAAGTCTTAGCGGAGATACGTTCGGCTACTTAGATACCAGTCTCGATGGCGCTTATGTTTTGACACTGAAGTCAAGATTTGGTTCATCGAAATGAATTGCGTATGCATTGCACGTGGAGATGCTGAACAGCCACACCTACTGCCTCACGCCTTGATTCTTCCTAATATCTAGCGTTATACCAGCTGAGCCATACATAATGGTATAGTGTGTGCTTGTTCGCTTGCTTGCAGCATGGGCTTGATGGGTTTTCTGTAGTCCGCTCTGTTCAACTTCGAATCTCTCCTACTCGTAATTCTCCTCATGATTTGCACCTGCACATACGTGCGTGCTGTAATGCCAAGCTTGACGGATAGGAACAAGGAAGGGTACGAAGGCGATCTCTCACACGTGTCCAAGTTCCCGGGCTTAATCCATGTTTTACTGTTCAGGTTTTTGGGCGTTTTTTGGAAGTGCGCGAGGATAGGTGTGTTCGGGTTGTAGAAGTATGCTCGCACCTTCTTATCGCACCATTTTCAGGGGAGAGACTGTCACCATACGTTGCTATTGCATGTGTAGTCATGGCTGTCCACATGCTCATCAAATGATCGTCGCTTCGCGCCGTATTTCTTTTTTTTTGATTTTGATGGCATTCATTGAGACTACAGTCAGAACGTCCGTAGATTTTGGCATGCAGGAATCAACCGTCGCAATACACAGCAACCTACTAACACAGAATTTGTTGTAGACCAGCAAGTGGCTTTAGAGTCTTCGTCCCCATAGTTATTTCCAGTATGGTTGGCCACCTCTCGATTGCCAAATGTCTCTCATCCTGTCCCGCACTTCACCAGCATCTGGCCTTGTATTGGCTCTCGGCGCCCAGCATGCTTGCATCAGGAGCCAAAGTGGACACGAAGCGTTTGTCAAGCCCCTGTCCCAAGCCACTGGGGACTCCGGAAAATCAGGTCGAAGACCCTCACGGATGAGACGATGGAGGCGATACAAATGCGTATGACGCTGGAATGGGTCAGCATCCGTTATTATCTGAGTTGTAAAGTGCGTCAGCTTGATCTTCCCCGAACTGGGCACTGCTTACCTCCAGGATGGTACATGCGAATGAGTAGATATCTGCGCCTGGTTCCTTAAGCTCGCCTTCCAACACTTCGGGAGCGGACCATCTCATAGGAGGTGGCCGGCTGCCTGTCTGGACCTCAGCTGCGATTGATGCCAAGGCGAAATCTGTGATGCGAGCTTTGTGGTCTGTATCGATGAGGATGTTGCTCTACAAAAAGGACGTAAACCATTATCCATTGCGCGAAACTCTGCGACTGACGGCTTTGAGCCCTCCGTGGATGATCCCCTGAGAATGAAGATAAACCAATCCCTCGGCAACATCAAGACTACAGCGAACATCAAGACCAAAGTCACCCTGCTCGACAACTCGGACACATACCACTTTAGTAGTGAGATCACGCCACACATCAGAGCGGGTAAACGAAATCACACTTGAATCACTCACTATTTTTACACAATCGGCATCTTGTCCTGTTCCATTCTTCTTTCGTTCTCTATGTTTGCGAGCGTAGAGCCTGGCGTTTCCCTTCGGCATCCATTCGCTAATCATAAAAGGAAACTCGTTTTTAGGCCCACTGCAGCCTAAGAAAGTGACGATATTAGGATGATTGAGTTTTTGCCATATTTTGCTCTCTCTGTTGATGCGCTATTAACGGGTTGTTAGGTTTGGGCCGAAGTAGGACAAGGCAGGTTCATTACCCGGTAGACCCTATTACGTGAGTGTAAGTCCCACAAACGGAGTTATGGAGGCCCACTCACTGCGCAACCATATCGCTGTCCATTATGTTGACTTTTTTAATCGCAACTGCATCTCCAGCTCTGACTCCTTTGTAGATAGTCGCATGGTCGCCCCTGTGCACCTCCACAGGAACAGTCAGTTCCGATGGGTCGATTCCCGTGGGGGGATGTTCCCCTTTGTATTCTTCAAGCGCCCGAATCAATCTTCCACGAGCCTCCTTAATGTCAGGATCGGCTTCAGGGTCTGACTCAGACAGCTGAGTGCTGGATGAGTTTTGCTGTTCAATATGACGTGGAGGTGAATTTTCTAGAGAATGAGTTGATCGACAACTTGAGGACACACCAATCTGAATTGCTGCACCAAGTCAGCAAGCTCTCGGACGGTTTCGCCCAAGTTCTCGAACTGGACTTCTTGCTGAGCATGCACAGTCGCCATCTTATTAATGGTCCGTGTTGTGTTGTTGAGGAACTCCCGGTATTGATACTTGTCGGCTTGTTGCGCCTCTGCAAGTTCCCGTCGCCAGAGATCTACACGTTCTACAACGGTGGTTTGAGCATCAGAGACTTTGACGGTTGCCGCAAGGCCCTGCATTTGAAGAGCCGTCTGCAGTGAAGTAAAGTGTGGCGAGTTTTTGGCAGCTCAGATATATTAGACGACCTTCAACCCGAAACATAATCACCTGGAAAGCCCTCCACATTTCTCCAATATGTCTGTGGTGTTCAATGATGGACTTCAGCATTGTGTCCTTCTTGAGCAAACGGTCCCAAAGGTCCATCCGCGTCCAGTCTCTCATTTGGCTCTTGATACTTTCCAGCTGGCTGGTGGGAAATGCTGTCTTAGGCTTCCATGTGTCAGAGATCAAAGGAGTGTACATGCCTCCGGAAATTTAGGGTATAAGTTTTAACGCTGTAGACGTAGGAACGGTTTACTGATCAGTCATCGACGTTCGCAAACAGGTCCATGCCGTTGTCATGGGTTTCAAGCGTTACTCACACTGTGTACATTGGATCGTGCGGCTTCAGACCGCTCATTTCCGCATCGTTGAAAATCTTAACGAGTTCCGTCTGGCAACTTTGGCATTGCAACGCTAATTTGATCGCAGATTGCTTGTTCGCTTTGATATCCTAAAGCACGAGTTTTGTAATCAGAATTCTGCCACTGCATTGTCGGGCCGGATAACGCCTGGGCTCCATTTGTGTCTGCTCCCACGAAGATACAACGATGGAGCAGCATTGGGGTGTGATGCGAACCTCTGTCAGTTCCCAGATAGTCTTGACCGCTTCAAAGAGCGATGCACCCGCCATCCCAAGCGTAAATTCAGCGGCCATGGTGATATCACAAGGAGATGGGTGCTGGATTAACAATCGGAAGGGATGGGGGATTTAAGAGAACGCTCTTAGGGTTTGTTCGGCTGCCTCTTGAAATAGATGATATTGGGCTGATCCTCCGCGCCTACCCTCATGGCTATGCTGATTCAATTGGGTGGAACAAAAGCCCATTGCTGGCGCGCCTTCCTCAGAGCGTTGATAAGGGGCACAAGGCGCCAATGTGGCAATATGCAGCACCAAGTGTGTAGTAAGATGAACAAAAAATAATAAATTGGATGTTGGATCATATGTGACAGTGCGATAGGAGGCAATGAGTGTCAGACACGCGATAATGGAGCTTCAAAGCGCACGGCGGAACACCCGGGCGATGAATGGTAGCCACGACACGAAATCGGCATATAGCTCTAGCGCTCCCGCTTCCAGTTGCACTTGTATCCAGTTAAAGTAGCGCCCTCGATTGGGCTGCATGCATTGAGGGAGGAAATGGTCGAACATGGGAGTATTATGAATGACGGCGTTCACGGAACGCGGAGACTCACGTGGTCACGCTGTGCGCATTGACTTGGGCGGTCGAAACACACCCAACTTTCCATACCTTCATATCCTTCAATTTTTCGACCCTCGAGCACTGTGGTCCGGCACATGCCGGTAGGCACCTCACGCATTGAAGCATTTTCCTTTCCCTTACAATTGGCCAGCGTCAATTTTAAACCGATCCGTAAACATTAAGGATTGAATGATGGGAGTGGGAAAAGCACAGGACGAGGAAACTCCTCGATGAGTTGGCAAGTCTGTTGTGGGACACCTTATCCGTTGCGTGGAAGCTATCTACACAATTATCCTCGTTGTTGCGGAACTACCAGTTTTCATCTGACTCCTTTTGATCCATTGAGTGGAATTCGGCATTTTCGGTCAATGGTCGATGGCTGTCGTTTGTTTCCTGTTTTGGACCGAGCTCTCTCTGTCCGTGCGTCTCGGTTTATTCCTGTGTTTGATTTTAGGCAGGTCACCAACTTCTGTTGCTGGGATTCTCGATCTCTTGTTTTTATACCCTTGGCGTAGCATTTTCCGGTGCGAATGTAATTCCGAATCGCAAGCTCCAATCGGCGCTCATCAAATTAGGTGCCTCGTGTCAGCTATCTTGTTCGGCTGCGCGCTACCCATGTTGTACGAGCGCAGCATCGGGACACCCAAGGCGTGTAGGCTATTGGGGGAAGCTACCTAACTAGCCCATTTCTACCCGGCGGTATTGCGTCGAATCCTTGATCCCCTCATCTTCCGGGTTTGTTGCTCTTGGTCGACAACCCTCAGCTCGAGTGCATGGCTGCTTGCTGGCCCTGCCGCTTATTTCCTTTTGGAATGCCGTGGTGCCCTGTAATGTTTGGGCTGCTGCTTGAAACTGATAGAAACCTATTCAGGGTCTTCGAAGTGTGTGAGTCATGGGCGTTCACTCGCTCACCAAACGATCATCATTTCGCACTGCGTTTTAGGCTTTGATCGTCGTCATAACTTTTGGCACACCGGAACCGGCTGTCACGATCGCAACAATTTACTGGCGCACAGGTGATGACGATGATTAGTCTCTCTTCGGCTACCCCGTCGTTACACCGCAGCGTACATGAGGGGATTGACTTTCACGAAGGGCTTTCCAAGCCCCTGTCCCAAGCCCTCGCGGATGAGACGCTGGAGACGGTACAGATGATCATGATCCTGGAATGGGTCAGCATCCGTTATTACCCGAGTTATGAATTTACTCTTCGTCATGTTGGGATCCGTGGGATAGAGCCGCAGTACATTTGCTCATAGCGTTTCTGGAGTTCACTTCCTCGGCTTGCAGCTTGTGCATAAATGTTTCTCCGGGCGCGCTGTGGGATCAACCCTGAGATTGGAAGGCATCACACAGGTGGAACCTGGACGCTACATATCACACCTCCGGGACGGTGCATGCGAATGAATAAATATCTGAGCCTGATTCCTTGAGCTCCCTGTCAACACCACTTCGAGCGCAGACCATCTCGTCGAAGGTGGCCGGCTGCATGTCTGCGATTGATGCCAAAGCGAATTCCGTGATACGAACCTTGAGGTTTGCATCAATGAGGATATTGCTCTACCAAAAGTGTAAGCTGTTTATGCCATTGCTAAATTATATCTGACTGACAGCTTTTAGCTCTCCGTGGCTGACACCCCGAGTGTGGAGATAAACCAATCCCAAGACTATGGCGACATCAGGACCAGAGTCACTTGTGCTCGAAGGTGAGACCACAGATTAGATGCGGACAAGCGAGGTCACGCATGAATTACGCACTGTTTTTACACAATCAGCATCTTGCCCTGTTCCATTTTCCATTGTTTTTAAGAAAGTGACGATATTGGGGCGATTAAGGTTTTGCTCTCTCTGTTGATGCGCTATCAAAGGTCCGTTAGGTCTGAGCTTAAATGGAGGAAAGCGTATGCATATTACTCGGTAGATCCTAAGTGGGATGGGGGGACCAGACGGAGTTATGAAGGTCGACTCACTCTATCATTTTTTGACGGCAACTTCGTTTCCTACACTAACTGCTTTGCAGATGGTTGCATGAGCCCCCTTGTGCACTTCGACAGTTCCGTCGGGTCCACCTTCATAGGGGGTATTCGCCTTTACATTCTTCAAGCGTCCGAATTAATGAGCCTCAATGTCAGGATCTTCTCTAGGTTCGGATCCAGATAGCCGTGTGTTGGATAGGTTTCGCTGCTTGAGAAAACGCGCCATTGTGGAGAAGTGAATCTCCGGAGAATGAGTTGTGGAACTGAATTGTTGCACTGACCCGGCACTTGCTCTGCGCTCTGTCGGTGTCATTGGAGCACTCGAACTGGACTCCTTGATGAGCATGCACAGTCACCATGGTTGGTGTTATATTATTGAGCGACTCCCGTACTCTACCTTGTCCGTTTGTTGGGCTTTTACAAACACCTGTTTCAGATCCCCCCGAGCTTTGGTGTTTATGGCAAGATCCCGCACCTGAAGCACCGTCTCCAACAAAGCGAAGGGGGTCCCGGAGTTTAAACAATCTAGAACATACCACATTGCATTCGAGTCGAACATAATTACCTAGAATTGCCTCCACGATATTCAGCGACTGACTTTGCCATCGCGTTTCTCTTGAGCAAACGTCCATTTGACCCAACTCCTCGTGTGATTCGATACATTCCAGGTGCCTGGTGATGGTATGCGGGGAACGCTGTCTTAGTCTTCTGCGTGTCTGAGGTTCAATGAATAGGCCTGCCTCTGAAAATTCTGGAAATATTTTCTGATCAGTCATGTACTATCGACGGTAGGTCCGCGGGTCAGAAATTTGAGGGGGTTACTCACATTATGTACATCGGATGATGGGGCTAGAGACCATTCTCTTCGCATCGTCGAATATCTTGATAAGTACTCCCCGGTGACTGTTGTGCTAGTCTGGTCGCAGATTGTTTGTTCTCTTTGATACTCTAGGGCACAAGCCTTTGGTCAGAACTCGGCTACCCCTTTATCAAATCGAATGGTGCCCAGGCTTCGTCCACCCCACGAGGACACAACGATGGAGTAGAATAAGGGACGATGTGAACCTCTGTCAGTACCCAGATAGCGAGGACGGCCTCATGGATCATGCGCCTGTCACTCCCACGACAAATCCAGTGGCATCACAGAGTGATGGGCGCTGATTTAGCAACTTACCAATTAGAAGCACTGGAATCACGCTGTTGCCTTCAAAAATAGACCTAGCAGATGGTGTTGCACTGGCCTCTCGCACCTGTTCCCCCAGGCAATGTTGATTTAATTGGAAGCAACAAAGGACAATGATGTAATTAACCAGGGTAAACGACGCATCAATGCGCGGCAAATGTACGGCCTGTGCGGCAAACAATGATTAATTGGATCCCAGATCCTAAATATGAGACTGTGTGACAGGAGACAATGAGGTATGTCAAACACAAAGAGGAAGTCACCTTCCCTTCAATTGCGTAAATGCAGAAATCACATGAGTGCAGAAGTATGCGATGAACGGCAACCGTAACACGAAAATGGCCTTCAGCACTCCCATTTCTCGACCTTGTACTTGTATCCCGTAAAAGTGGCGCCACTCGCTGGGGCTGTATTGACGCAAATGATGAGACATGGCAGCTTGAGTGACACAACACAGGGACTCACGTGGTGATACGGTTTGCAACTTGGCGATCGAAACGCCTGCGGGGATAATGAACAATCCAGAACGTGCACTCGCGGCGACGCAAGCGTCCTCCTTCCCATTACAGTCGCCGATGTCCCTGGACGGATTAAACCGCGCTGTCATTCCAATGAGTTTCCCAGCAGCTTTGATTTCGAATTGATCTGCGTCTGGGCCGATATCGACGACAGTCAGCAGGACTGGGGTATATTGCCTGGTCCATCTCAAAGAGTTGGGGTCAACGCCACGAGCGTTGGAGTAATAGAAATCATCCTGCGTCCAATCCTTGATCTATTTACAAGAAAGGTCATGTTCAGAAATGATGGAGGTGGGGAATAGTAGAAGGACAAATTGGAACTCACCACTTGAGTAGCTCTGCAAGTATGAAGTATCTCGGGGGAACCGCTACCTGCACCATCCTGGACGCGAATGTAAACGGTTTGGACGGGCGGGCATGGGGGACATTCCGATGGGTCGCAAGGCGGGAGCTTGGCTGTAGTTGTAACTGGCGTGGTTGTGGTTGTGACTGGTGTGGTTGTGACTGGCGTAGTTGTGACTGTGATTGGTGTGGTTGTGACTGGCGTAGTTGTGACTGTGATCGGTGTGGTTGTGACTGGCATGGTTGTATTTGTGGCCGGCGTGGTTGTGATTGGCGTTGTAGTTGTGACTGGCGTGGTTGTGACTGGCGTGGTTGTAGTGACTGGCACTGGATCCCAGGGTACCAATGGTTCCGGTGGTCCCTGTGGGGGTGGGAGCGGCTTATCGACGCATATAGCAACATGAGGAGGTTGAACTGCGGGTGGCGGCTTGGTGCCTCCTGGTGGAACGTACAGCAAGAAAGGATTGAAAGACGTCACTTCACAAATCTTGCGCCTTTCGTATTGAACAGTCCAGTAACCGCCATTTCGATCCACGCAAGGAACAAAGAAGGGAGTAGGCCGAACGGTTCTCCACTGAACTGTATTGATAAACCAAAGTCATTGGAGTGCCTGCGCACGAAGGGGGGTCCTAATAAGCAGGGGACATACCATAAGTCGCTCCTGGACGGACAGTAGAACTCGTGATTGGTGTTGCCCCAGGAAAAGCAGTTGGGGCATTGAAAGGCTAAATGTATCTATCGGGTGAGTACTGATGTTGTGTAAAGACTCTGAAAAACCGTACTTTAGTCGAGTGGTAACTATCGATGTAGGTGACACCAGTTACAGTGCGCGTATATAAAGCAGCACCAGTGCGACAGGGATCATACTCCGGGTGTTGTTCGGGATGAACCAGAGGCACTTGGAATGCCTCTTGAGTCTGACAGAACGCCACCCCCACGAGGGCGGCAAGGAGGAGAGTACTCATGTCTGAGGAGCTCTCGATGGAGAAAAACCCCTCTTATATGTGGAAAAAGCTAACCAGCTACATCTTGACAGCGGGACTGAAACTGCGTACCATGCAGCTGAAGGCTGCTGCTGGGGCATGGGTTGAGTGATCGACCACCTCGCGCTATCAGCCACTAAGCTAGAATGAGGGGCTGAATTCTGGGTCATTAGATCCTTTGTGCCCCGGGAAATCTGTGGGCACTGGACATCAGCGAAAGAGGGCCAAGCATTCCATGCGCCAGGTGCGGGATTGTACACAGGAACAACTGCGTGGGAACTTGGCAACAATGATGTGCTTACATAATTGCCCCGAATATGAATTACCTTGCGGCTGCGAGTCTCGAGCCTCGAGACTCGCTGCCAGAAACTGCCTTTGGCTGCCTGCTCACATTTCACGCCTCACTTGTGGCTGGGTCGCTTCTAGGTGCCAACCTTTGCCCCTCGAAAAACGTTTAAATGTTATCCTTCAGGTTTGTGCGAACTCCACAACGATCGATCATTCAGCGCTGCGGCATCTCCTGCGTGAGGCCTTTGCCAGAAACTCCTTAGAACTTCAACAATGCAGTTGTGCACCCTGAGCTCCACGCAACTTTGATGCGCGCGCATACAAGTTCTTCGCGGGCCACACCAAGTAATCGGCTCATGTGCAGCTCGCAGCTATTCCCGCGAGCTTTTAGAAAGCAGTCATTGGGAACGTGTACTGCCCTTTCCATGAGGACTCAGGTGCGTGCACGCGGGGGATGACCTGAATTGGATAAGTCTTAACCTGAGAAGATGTCCATTACCCCACCCGACTCCAACAGTGGGACATTCCAGCCACTCTTCAGAACCCTCCTCTAACACGCCCGTGGTGCCATGCAATGCTCAAGCCGCCGCTTCAAATAGGTCGACCGACAGATATAATGTTCAGGATTTTGGGTATTTTTGGGAAGCCTGCGAGGATACATGGATTTGGGTTGTAGAGCAGTGTGCTTTGCGCCTTCTGATCTCCCACCTTCCGGGGGAGAAGCTGTCGTCGTACGTGGCGATTGTGGGCAAGTCATGGACGTTCTCTTGCTCATTAAACGCTCGTCGCTTAGCACTGTGTTTTGAATTTTGACGCCATTCATCATCAGAGTGTTGTACGGGAACCAATCACCACAATCACAAAGACTTAACGCACAACTTCTTGCAGACCAGCAGGCGGCTTGCGTGCTCTTCATTCAAGTATTTTCGTCCGGTATGGCTGCCCACCTCTTGATATCCAGATGTCCGCCATTCTGTTCCGCACTTCTCCAGCCTCTGGTCTTGCCTTCACTCTTGGCGCCCAGCACGCTTGCATTAGAATCCAAAGTGGGCTCAAGTGATTTTGCAAGCCCCTATCCCGTGACGCTGGGGATTCCGGGAAATCAGGTCGGAGACCCTCACGGACGAGGCGATGGAGACGGTACAGATGTGTATGATGATGAAACGGGTCAGCATCCGTTATTATCTGGTGTAGAGTGTGTAAACCTATTCTTCGCCTTGCAGATATCACTAATCATACCTCCAGGATGGTGCATGCGAATGAATAGATATCTGCGCCCGGTTCCCCGAGTTCGCCTTCCAACACCTCGGGTGCGGACCATCTCATAGAAGGCGGTCTGCTACCTGTCTGAAGTTGGGCTGCGATTGATGCCAAGGCGAAATCTGTGATACGAGCTTTGTGGTCTGCATCAATGAGGATGTTACTCTACCAAAGGGGTAAGTCGTTTATATCATTATCTGAAATTTCGTGACTAACGGCTTTTAGCCCCCCGTGGGTAACACCTTGAGAGTGGAGATAAACCAATCCCTCAGCAACATCAAGGCTGTGGCGGACATCAGGAATAGAGTCACTTCCGCCCGAGAACTCGGGAACAGGACATACCACTTTAGAAGTGAGATCACACATCAGATGTAGATGAATGAGGCCTATGCATAAATCACGCACTATTTTTACACAATCAGCATCTTGTCCTGTTCCATTTTCCATCCATTCCCGGTGTTTACGAGCGTATAACCTAGCGTTTCCGTTCGGCATCCACTCACTAATCATGAAGGGAAGGTCGTTTTTAGGTCCACTACAGCCCAAGAAAGTGACGACATTAGGGTGATTGAGTTTTTGCCATATTTTACTCTCTCTGTTGATGCGCTATGAACGGTCCCATTAGATCTGGGCTGAAATGGGATAAGGCGAATTCATATTACTTTGTAGATCCTGAATGGGGGGTTATTGTGAGTATACGTCTTACAGAGTTTTGAAGGTGGACTCACTGCTCAACCATGTCACTGCCCATCATGTTGACTTTTTTGATGGCAAGTTCATTTCCCGCTCTGACTGCTTTGCAAATGGTTGCATGGGTGCCTTTGTACACATCGACAGGAACAGTTAGTTCCGATGGGTCTATTCCCGTAGGGGGGTGTTCGCCTTTGTATTCCTCAAGTGCGCGAATCAATCTTGCACGAGCCTCTTTAATATCAGGATCAGATTCAGGATCAGATTCAGATTCAGATAGCTGAGCGTTGGACGAGTTTTGCTGCTTGAGTGCAGAAGTGAATTTTCCGGAGACGTGTTGTTTGGCAATCTAGGACGCACCAATTTGAGTTGCTGTACTAAGTCGGCACGCGCTCTGTCGGTGTCGTTGAGGTGCTCGAACGGGACTTCTGGCCGAGGATGCACGGTCGCCACGGTTAATGTTGCGTTGTTGAGTGACTCCCGGTACTCTTCCTTGTCGGCTTTTTGGGCCCTTACAAATTCCTGTCTCAAGAGATTTAAATAGCCATGAACCTCGATGGTTGCGGCAAGACCCTGCATCTGAAGTGCCGTCTGCAATGAAGCGAAAAGGGTGGGGGCGAGGTTTCAACAATCCAGAACCGCCACAATACATTCGAGATTACATACCTGGAACGTCTTCCACAATTCTTCGATATTTCTGTGATGCTCAGCGATGGATTTTGCCATTACGTTCCTCTTGAGCAAACGGTCCCAATAGTCCATTTGAGCCCAATTCTTCATGTGCCTCTCGACCCTTTTAAGGTAGCTGGTGACGATGTGCGGGGAACTCTGCCTTAGTCTTCTGCGTGTCTTGGGTTCAATGAATATGAATATGCCCACCTTTCAAAATTCTGGGTATATACTTCGACACTGTAGACGAGAACATTTATTATCAGTTATCGACGATCGATAGCAGGTCCATGGGATGGGGATTCAAGGGCTCACTCACGTCGTGTACGTTTGATGATGGGGCTTGAGACCGTTCCTCTCCGCGTCGTAAAATATCCTGACAAGTTCTGTCTGGCAATTTTCGCACTGTATTGCCAATCTGATCGCAGACTCTTTATTCGCTTTGATATCCTAGAGTACAAAGTCAACGATCAGAGCTCCGCCATTCGAACGAATGGTGCCTGGGCTTCGCCCATATCCATTCTCATGAAGATACGACGAGATGCTAACATCTGTAAGTGCCCATATGGCGCGGACGGATTCGAGGAGCGATGCACCGGCCGTTCCGAGAGCGAATTCAGTGGCCATGATATATCATGAGACAGGAGCTGGTTTAACAATCGGAAGGGATGAGGGGGGGGGGGGTTCAAACAAACCCTCGTAGAGATCACGCCGTTGCCTTTAGAAATAGATGATATTCATGTTGCACTGGTCTTTGGCGCTTATTCCTAGGGCAATGCTAATTCAATTGGAAGCGACGAAGGCCGGTTGCGCAATTAACTCCATGCACCGGAATGGTAATGGCCTCGCGCCTTTCTTAGGCGCCGAGGCTGGACACAATGCATAAAACACGCGGCAAACGCACCGCAGCAAGTGTTCAGCAAGATAAGCAAACAAGGGTTGGTTGGATCCTAGACCTCAAATATGTGACAGTCTGACAGGAGACAATGAGGCACGCCAGGTGTAAGAGAGGACTTCGGGAATGAAGCCACCTTCTCAAGTGCGTATATGCATATCAGTACAAGGAACGGCAGCCGCACGGTAGAATACAGCCTTAGCATTCCCAATAGAAAGGTTGCTTCACACACTGTGGGAAGTCCCCCCATCAGATTGTACGGGTTGTACCATCACCTAATCGAAAATGCCGGGAGTCCCTATCAGCTTTTTGGAAATGCTCAGTCGTGTGTAGTACCGGGGCTACCTAGCATCTGGATTCTGACTTACATATTGATACCAAAAGACAATTTCGCACATTAACTTATATCCTGGGATTTAGCGCTCCGGATCCAAACCTGAGGGCGCGCGCATTCAGTCGTCCCGATCGGGAAGGGGGTGTCGCTTTTTGCATCCGTCCGTGTCCTTCCGTCGTTTACCTATTACTCATCACGTGATCGCAGTAAGAAGGCCATAGAAACCCCCCTGTTATATAGGCCTCTTAGATAGGCAAACCGCGTTCCAGTGCATGCACCGGTGCACCAGTGCACCAGTATTACTATATAGCACCTATATCTGGTCACGCAAAGGCCCGAAGGGCCCTGAGAAGCTCTGGGGTATCATATCCCAAAAATGTCAAGAATGCCCTGTGATGCGAACATCGCTGCATGTGCCTTTGGCATCGCCTCTGATGTCGTCGCCGCGTCAACGTCATCGTCAACATCTTTTCACCAATTTCCCTTGTTCCTCACTCCTTTATCCTTGTAACTCGATTTTTCTTTCTCACTATTACGATATTATCATGTATTTTTGTTGCTTATTCAGCATCGCCTCCGATGTTGTCGCGCCACCAACGTCGTCATCAATGTCTTTTCACCGATTTCCCTTGTTCCTCACTCCTTTATCTTGTATGTAACTACTATTATGATCATGTATTTTTGTTGCTTATGACTAGTATCTGCCACCGAGTCTTGGTGCATATAAAATGATCAGTGAAGTGAGACAAAATTACGTCGAATCTAGGTCAGAAATGTTTAACGTATTTGCAAGCCGATCAATAAGATTGTGATAGTCTTCAGTTTCCTCATCCACATCTATATTCTCGGTCTCGGAAACCTTGTCTGCTGCCTCACTGTCAATGGCCTTCAATAGCTCATTGGCATAATTTGAACCGTCTCTATTTGCGGCGTTGGTGGGTGATGTTGGTGGCGGATTGGTGATAGGGGACAGGAGAGACGATGCTAGTTATAAAATTAGAACCATTATGAGCTCCTAGATAGATACTTACTGTTGGTTGTATGTGCTGAAGCGCCAGAGGGTGGTTCACTGCCTACCACATGAATGTGATAATGTGAGCGTGCCTCAAGCTGAAGCAGTTTTGCGCATAGGTGGGAGTTGGTGTTGAGGCGATATTGAAACATGAGAGATATATATTCTGCCAATGCGGGTTGGTGGGTCGAGTGTCCTCAATAATCTTCTGCAAGTGCGCCTCTTCATCCCTCACAAAACTCCCCAACCGATTTGCTTCAATGACTACGGTTTCAATCTCCTCACGGGCACGTTGTAACTTGCACCAGGCTCGTGTTGCATTACGAAATAGCGGTTTTGCCCATGGCTTTTCACGTATGTCCTCACGACCACATAATGTCACAATATCGGATATGAAGTTGAGGTCCGTAACTTCCTTCCAGGTGAGTTTCGTCCTTGGTGGGCTCATAGATGCTGCCAAAGCATTGTACTTATTGATTGTCGATTGTAACGTTTTTCCACGCTTCGACACTAAGGACAAAATCTGTTGACGGGCCTTGTAATCTGTGGAAATGGCAGCACAGTGAGCAGGGCAGTAAGGGGAGTAGAATGTAATACCTGTCCTAGGCAACCCCACTTTCTCAACTTCAAATTGACGTGAGATGGCATGGTGTTCGAGTTCATCCAGTAGTTGGTGGTAGTCCCGTTGTTGACGCAAGGTGATTGCTTCAAGATGCTGGGGAGAGTCAGTCGTCCAAGGAAGAGAAAGGGACCAAGTGTCCAGTGCTGCCTCCAAGGCCATCACAGTGGCGCGGGCATTCTCGATGGCCTTGTTTGCCTCTTGGAGGTGCCAGGTAGTATGCTGTGCAGAAGAGGTTGTCGGTGCAGCAAGCCGGCTGATCCAGTGGGAAACTGTTCCTCTGTGGAAAGTGGTGGGCTTTGAGCCTTCCTATTAAGTTTGAAGCTACTTACTCTGCACGCTCGAGGCATTCAATAGCCTCCAAGTACTCTATCTTTCTCCTCTCACTTTCGGGTTCCGATCGGAGGGATGCTATGTACTGTCTCTCCTCCTGTAGCCACCTTGGACAATCACTGTCAGGATCGAAGGTGGGGCACAGCCGTCGCATGGTCTCAAGTACTTCAGCACTCTCCTTAATTATCCTCCAAGCCGACGTGTGGTTGTTCAATAAGAAGTCTCCTGTCACACAAGTGTGGTGAGTGTCAGCTCTTGGAATGTTCGGATGTACCTAGGCGCTCATACTTCGTCTCATCCCACTTGGTAAAGTGTATGTGAATTCGAAGGTGGCGACTGTATGGTGATGCGTGTCGGGTGGCAGAGGCAAGTGCATTGCTTTCCGAATAGACACTTCATTACCTTCACCATCTTCAATCCCAGCGCCTTTCTGCAAGCCGATAAGAAACTCAAGCTGGCAAGACCTGTTGTGGGCAGCACCATGGAATGAACCGGTGCAGGATTTGAAATTTGCCTTGTGCAATGTTGCTGATGGGGGATTTTGAAAGTGTTTGAGAGAACGAGCAGCCAACATCATATGCAAATAAAATATTCTTGCCAAAGGTTTGTATCAGCTTGTCCGCAGCAGCGATTGGATACATTGCACTGGGGTGAGCATTAAGACATGTCAAACATCGCGTTAATTACTTACAGCTCCCCACTTTCGATCATGTCAACAAGGAACTGAACAATCCCGTGACGACAGACAACTGAAAATATACCAGTTTCGTCCATGATTTGCATTGCCCCTGCCTTCGTCTTCGATGCGATTGGCTGGGCATTCTTCCATCCCAGGCAGCCATCAGCTATAAATATGGATGAGGGCACTGACTATGAGCACAAATTGGTAAATGGAAATAGTTTTACAAATAGCTAGTTCTTGCCTCTTTGTCACGCCGAGTCTCTTTCCGGATATTGGAAAACCGGTTGACCTCTGCCCGAGGGAGATAGTAGTCGCTGTTGAAGTGCCGCAAGTCCCCCTCAAAGTGGTGGCGCATTCGTGAGAGTGAGGTGTTCCCATCACCTGTCACAATAAACTGGATTGAGCGTCCTGGGTCATCGCCATCCTGTGACCGACAAATCTATCATCAAATTACCATATTTACGAATGAGATTACTTCCCTGGTTGTGACATGCTGGGCAAGAGGTCTTCAGATGGTGATCAGCTTCGTCATAGCCCACGGTTTGTTTTACAAGGCTGTCCAAATGAGAGAGAATGCGATAAAAGATATCAAATATGAGGGAGACCTGGGTCCTTGAATAAGGCTTATACACAGCCTGGGTAGAGTGTTGTTTGGAAAGGTCACTGGAAAATAGAAACAGATGACCACGGCTCACCTTGTGCATGTTGGCCAGAAGGCGGGAAAAGTGCTGAAAAGTAAAAGCTGGGGCCACACGGAAAAGAGAGTGGAGAAGCTCAAGTGACTGTAAGGATATCGCAAGTTGAGGCTCCATTGGTGTTGGGCAAAGATATCCTGCACGTATAAGCGCGCATGCAGGAAAGACTTCACCTGGACGCATAGGAATATATTCAATTGCATCCCCATCTACAAGCGATGATCAAGCATGGGTATATGGAAGGTTCTTAGTGCAACTCACCAAATATGTCAAGGCAGTGAATATGAATATACCCAATGTCATCTCCAGGAGCGGGATAATGAGCCGGTGTTGAGCGTGGATTCTCTGTCTTGAAATGGAGATAGAAGTTCGCAAGAACAGGGAGCTGTTCTGTCCATGAAGTGTACAGTTTTGTCATCCGGTCGCCCCAAGTCGAGCCTTTTGTGCGCCTGGGGACATTATTATGCATAGAATAGTTTGAACGAGAGTGGTACTTACTTTCTGGGCAGCAACAAATTGACTACACTCACTAGCTGCTCATAACTAAGGCCTTCATCCTGAAAGAGCGGGAATTGAGCCATGGCGGGTCATCAACCCAATCAGCCGATTCGCTAGGAACAAAGGGATTCTCTTGGATCTCCCTGAGGCCATCACGGAGTTCTTCGGTAGCATCTACAAACAATTTTGATGTGAGACGGCTCAGTGTTTACAAATTTATTACATACCTTCAAGTATTTGTTCTTGGGCTGCCTGCATTTCAATTTGTACTCTCCTTCTGGCAACTATGCCATACCTTTGTAGTTTTAAAGAGTTGGTCCCTAAGTTAGTAAAGATTACGTTCCACCTGCTAGATTTTTTCCCCATCTTAGAAATACGATCAGTAATAGTCCAAGAGGTAGTGAGCGAGGTATTAAAAAGACCGAGGCTACCATGTGTCATGAAAAAGTCAATAGGCGCCAAGAAAGAGGCTGGCACTGAAATTGCAGATTTGAGGTGAGTAACTCACTGCAATGTTGGTTTGAAGCCTGGAGTAGGACTGAAGGTGGAAGCGAAGTCAACGTGCCAAAAAATATGGCTTGGAGGGTGGGGGATTCAGGGGATTGGTGGGATCTGGCGACAAGGATTGATATCAGGTGCATTGCGGTGGCAATGCGGCGTGAACAAACTGTATATACTGTATTCACTTGTTCGAAGAACCGAACCATCTCCCTCACTGGTTCTGCCTAATCCTTCAATCCTCCTGAATACACCATGTCTAACGGCAAACACCCAAGTTAGTTAATGAGCAATTTCAGGCCAACCCATCACTCACCTTTCTTCCTCAGACCTGTCATGGAATACAGCTTGCGAACTGGCTCAAACTGTGTTTGAGTCATACATCCAGGTTAACCGCGAAAGATACAGGCTTTCCAACCACCACATGTCCTATTTCCAATGGAACGTTAGTAAACGATTTGCACGATCATTTCTGATCCTCTATCACCACCAAGGCAAGTGAAGCAACCTGCTGACGAATGCACATTGTTTTCATGTTTCACCTAGGTTGGGAGCTGAACGAGGGTCAACTTGACTTGGAAACGGCATTGAGAGACATACCAGAGCGTGCCTTTACTACTGAGATGGGATGGATGATAGAAATGCGCCTCGTTTTTCCTCTATTGCAAATGAAGCAAAATCTTCGTGAAATCAGTGAATTAGTGAGTAAAGCTCGTGGAATTGCATTCAAGCAGGACAGGCTTACCTTCTGGAAACAGTCGGACATCCGGGATCGCCTTGGGCAGCCATCAGTCATGATGGTCGACTATGAGGGACACATGTCACCCGTCCTTGTAACTGCTACAGAAGGGATTCAACAAGACGAGAACTGGAAGTCATTACGCGAGGCGATACTTGAACAATGTAGAGAAGCTCACCCTAAACGTGTCCCTGAGAGTGCCATTCCGGCTGCCAGCCTCCCACTGGCCACCACCAACAGTTGCACGGAAATCATGGATGCGGGCTCGGATGGATCAGACTCCACTGCAGAAGCAGTGTCTGGCCCAGCTATCGAGATGACCAAGGGGAAAAGCTGCATGAGAGAGGCGGGTGGTAAGGAGCCTCAGCTGGGGGCAGGAATTGGAGGGACTCATTTGGAATGGACGATGCTGGACCCATTGAGGGTCATCATGGATCAAACTTCTGTGCATACGAACACGGCAGATAACAAGGCGCTTGATGGTCTGCAAAAAAGGGCCACAATGCCAATGAGTGCGTTCCACCCAGCAAAAGCCACCACCACGATGTCCACCGACTCACCTGGTACCACTTCCTCAGCCTTATCACCCAGTTCAAACACGTCTCCAACTGACAGCAATGGCCATCATGCTGATCCCACAGTTCCAGCCACATCTTCGCACCAAGCCGCACTGACTCAAATGAACTTGAGTCTCTTGGAGGAACTGAGCTCCTCCGAGCGAAACCTGGACGAGCTTTCAGGCCTACCGACAACAAGTGGAACGGCAATGTCAATGTCATCATATGCTGGATTGTCCACATACCTTACACCGACTGACATTCAGGATATTATTCGGTTTGCAGACGCATGCGACTTCAATGAGGACCTTTTTCACAGCGTGTTGAAGTCGCACTTCCACTGCAGTGAAGAGGATAGCCACCTACTTGTTGGTTTAGCTGCAGCAGGGCGACGCAACACCTAATGGATGGGTGGATGCCAGGTCCGCCACTCCTATTAAATACAAAAGACCGTGAATATGTATTTAACAAAAAATAATTTTCTAAATGGGTCACTGAAAATGGAAAAATAGACAACTATTTACCTCTGTTTGGGCAGCATTCCGCAGGTCCTACTCAAACTTCAACGCTGAAAATGGCGTCTCAACCACAAAGCATGGTCTCTGGACCGCCGCTAAAGAGAAAAGAAAAGGAACTAGTTCGAGAAGTGTTCAACAAACGAGTTCTCGAACTGAAACATACCTTCAATGCTCAAGTAGACAATATTGCCTTGGAGTTTTCTGGGAACGGAGCTTGCTATTCACGTAGTCAGATTCACAGCCAGATCATCTATAACCTTGCCGCACCTACAAAAACACGTAAGCCCATGCTACTTAATGCCTGGGCACATGCCAAGGCTCAGGCAGATCATAAGAGAGGTATGTGGCATTGTCAGCGAAACAAATTACAAACAAAAACTAACTAGAACCACTCACAAGCATAGAACTCCCGGATATTCCATATTCACAAGAGTACCTTGAAATCCTTGATGATATCAATGAGAACAGAATCACGTACGAAGACATCGAGAGCCAAATGACATCAACAGAGGAACATTATGCAAGGATCCTTCTAGAGGGTGTGTCCGTCAAAAGGGAAAACCGAATGGTGAAACAGAAAGTCCCCTCACCTGAGTTGTCCATGGGCCGCATGACATTCCACGCTAGAAGTCAGCTAATCCAAGTTGTAAGTGAGAGGCATAAACATTACTATCAAAACTGACAAACTGTAGGCAGAGAGAATTCATGAAGCGTGTGGTGTCGAGGTGTTGATCATGATGACAAAGGGAAATAATGAGGACATTTTCGCGCCTGTTTTGTGGGGAACACCCAAAGCAATGGACTTTTGGTGTGGTGTGCTCAAGATAGATATGATGGAGAACATACGTCTTATGGAGGGATATTGCATCAACACTCTGAAGGGTAAGTCTCGCATGAGGAAAGTACCCCAGCTGTTCATGGGGGGGGTCTTGAAGGCGTCGTCACAAAGTATCAGGCTCGAGTGGGAGCATTGCGCTGTGAGGTAGCAGAGTATGCGAGAACAGGGCTTCGTAAGTGGCAACGTCCCGATGAAAACTCAGAATCACGGCTGACGAAAGCAGGTGGAATTACTGGAAAGCCCCGCCTGTCAATGGAGTGGGTACCAAAGAACTACCTGAAACTTATGATTAGTCATGGGGTCGCAATCGATATGGAGCACTATCCAGGTGGGATATTGCGGAGCCAAAAACTGCGAATCTTCAGCACCTGCAAGAGGTTGTCGAGGGATGGAAAACAAATCGAATTAAGTGGGTGAGACTTGGTGAAGAAGAGCACAAGGACCGGCGAAAGCAGTTAGCTGAGCTGTCAACGAGCACCCCAGACAAGAATCAGTCTCCTTCAACTGGTAGTAGCAATACACCACACACCTTGTAAGCCGTCCATCATTCACCGTGCAATTGCCCAACCCGCCAGACAACCATCTCCCTTATTTTGTTATCAACGCACACCTTTTACTCACCATCTGCAACCTGATATGGTTAGAGAGGCTTTGTCACCAGCATCCAGGTCTGTCACTCGCACGGAACGCTTGAGGGTACTTAATCCTGACCTGACGCTTGTTGCAGTGCTCCAACTTGCACAGGGAATACCGCATCATCGAACGACGCCACCCAAGCGTCGATCAATCCAGAGGGTGAAGCCACTGCGCAAACCGGTGCGATTCGTAACAATGGTCAGTAAGTAATATAGCCTGGTTGTCAGTTTGGCCTGGTTGACGAGGTTGTGCTGTATGGGAAGAAAGCGAACGATGCCCCAGGACCTGAACCCACGGAAAATGCCCCGAACCGCCTCCACATCAGATTAGGGTGAGGGAGGTAAGGCAGATGCACTCGAACAGTGGACATGAGAGAGGGTTTCATTGTGGTGGGATGTTGAGTCGGAGCGGATGGGGCAAACGCCATCATGTTCAACCGAATAAGGCAACTTACCCACTGAACCGAACACAGAACCAACATGGCTCCATGTTTCATTGTTTCTTGAACCTCCATTAACACTCCCTACGACGTCGTTTATCAATCGCTAATATTGACGCTGGCAGACACATTGATCAGGTGCCTTGTCCTACCAATTCCCGTATTTACATTTGTTGCAAAACAAATACATGATAACATCTTTAATAGTAGTTACATACAAGATAAAGGAGTGAGGAACAAGGGAAATCGGTGAAAAGACGTTGATGACGACGTTGGTGGCGGCAATGACATCGGAGGCAATGCTGAATAAGCAACGAAAATACATGATAATATCGTAATAGTGAGAAAGAAAAATCGAGTTACAAGGATAAAGGAGTGAGGAACAAGGGAAATCGGTGAAAAGATGTTGACGATGACGTTGACGGCGGCGACGACATCGGAGGCGATGCTGAAGGCACATGCAACGATGTTTGCATCACGGGGCATTCTTGACATTTTTGGGATACGATACCCCAGAGCTTCTCAGGGCCCTTCGGGCCTTTGCGTGACCAGATATAGGTGCTATATAGTAATACTGGTGCACTGGTGCACCGGTGCATGCACTGGAACGCGGTTTGCCTATCTAAGAGGCCTATATAACAGGGGGTTTCTATGGCCTTCTTACTGCGATCAGGTGATGAGTAATAGGTGCCGTCGTTTGTGAATGTGTGTGTGTGTGTGTGTGGTTGGGCCTGGAGTGTCACGGTTTTACGCTTGGATTTCGGTGCGCTTTGCGCTTTGGTTTGGTGAGCCTGGTTGGTTTGGATATATATATATATATTTGATCATTTCATTCATTCGTTCACATCACCCAGTCATCACGTTGTGGTCCTCGTCTGTCCATCCCACCCCACCCCATGGGCCCCCAGCATCCATCTGGATTGCTTGCAGTATACAGTACCGCCGCTGCCATCAGCGTTTCGTTCTGGAACAGCCTGATGCACTCCCATCGTGTCTCCACCGGATCTCCACCATTTGGAACGACACAGGTGGCGTTGGATTCGCCCACCCGGGAGCTTTCGAACGCTGTCGGTCTCGTGTCGAATGGTTGGGATGCGACGGAGATATGGGCCGTGAGATTTTCTGGACTTGCTCGCCTTATTCCCTTGATTTTTTCGCGATCTTCTTTGTCCCAGCTGCAAGAAACGGCTTAAGAAAATCGGAAAAATGTCCGTTGGATCCTTCCCCTCAAGCACATTCGAACACCGTTGATCTCACCCGGAACCGTGAAGATTTGAGGGAGAGAGAGAGAGGAGATGGAGATGGGTGATGGGGTTTTCCAAACCAAGTCGTTCTGCATGTTGATAATCGACAAGCGGTTGTAAGTCCACATGAATAAATTCATTGTAATCATCCCCCCCCCCCTATACACATGTCCGATCTAGAGTTCACGCTTGTTGGCGTGATTTTTTGCCGTTACGACTTACGACTCTGAATGCCGATGATCGACAAACAAGCAGTTGTATTGTAATTGTAAGTCCACATGAAAATGAGAAAAAAGAAAGAAAGAGTTCATGCTCGGTGTGATTTTTTGCCGTTACGACTCTGAATGAACCCGTCCCTCTTCCCTTCCTCCGTGATCGCCTTGAGGGCCATACCGAAATTGTCGGTCATCTTGAGTCCGTAGTGCCTGAGGAACTTCGCTTCGCCCATCCTACACGGTCAGGAAAGCGACATCAGCAAGTGCCCAGTGACCAGAATAGCCTACACAAACTCGTCGTATTTCTGGCCAACCTGTCGGCGGTTGTTGTATTTCGTCCCGTGCACGCCCGAGTATCGGCCAGTATACCATCCCTTCTCCCACTTCTTCAGAGGGACTTTAAGCTCATTTCCATCCCCACATAGCCACTGCTTTATCGCATCTTCGAGTGTGGAGACGTGTGGGATGGTGATGTGGCCAGCCCCTGGAGCTGGCCGACTGTCGTCACGACGTTCCTGAGGTTGCCTGAGACTGGGAGGGTGTGGGTTAAGTGGACGCGGGGCTGGATGAGGAGGTATGATGTGAGGAGGTGGGAATGGGAACGTTCGGGGCACTGGCGTTACTGTTACTGTTTGAATCAAAGTTGTAAGCGTACCAAACCAAACCGCCTACCAATTCCATATGGAATGGGCTCACCTGGAGAGCGGTGCCGGGTGGTGAGTGGGTGATAGTGAGGGACGAGCATCCCTATTGCATAGTACTTGAGTTCATCTAGAGATGCTTGAATGGTATTGAATCCAGCTTCGATCTGATCAAGCCTTCGGAGCTGAGACTCGACATAGCCTATGCGCGTGCCAAGGTGACTGAATTGAGAACGGGTCTCCTCCGCGGTCATGGGATTGAGGCGCGACCCGCCCGTTCTGAGATTCGGAGTAGTCAATGTGGACTGGTGCAAGGGCATCACTGTAGTTATGCTCAACATCTGCCAGCATGTCAGTAGCGTACTTGAGGAGGGTTGACGCCTAAAAATGGAGATGTGAGTGCATAAAACCAAAACCAGGGACAGCGGCCTACACTTTCTCCTGGAGCCCAACCCCCCCACCACTGGCAGTGATTAAGCGGCCACTGTCTGAAGACTGGTGCGAGAATGAACCAGTATTGGAGTCCACCATGTCTGAAGCAGTGGGATGTGAGCCGGTCAGTCTCCAGATGCGCTTGCTTTCCATAGGACGCCAAGAGATCGTTGACGGCAGTGGTGGAAAGAGTGGTATCCCAGCGGATATCGTGAGAACGGGGCGAGCATGAGGGGAAGAGGGGATAGTGAGCCTTTAAAGGTGTTTGGCCGCAATACCGAGTGGAGAGGAATTGAATCCAGTGCATCACATGAACGTACGTGTCCAGCTGCGGGATCGTGTGAGGATCATGGTGATGGGAAAACGTATCATGGCCATAGAGTGGATAGATGTTGTACTGGCTCCCTGAAACCTGATCTTAGTACGGCAATGCAGCGACCCGATACTTGGGATGGATTACCTTGGCTACCTTGCTCGCCATCCTGATTCCGTTTCTGCCAACCCTTTCGGTTGACCAAAGTGACGTGGAGGTGTCGAAGATTGTGAGCAGTCTCCTCATGTCCCAGTCAAGGTGCCGGATGAGGATGGACGTGAGTTCTTCATTTCTAGATTTAGAAATACAAGTAGTAGTCAGTGCCGACTAGCGAGCCATAAGCACAGGGTGAAGATGCCTTGTCCACAGCGTCCAGCCCAATGAGGTTAGGGCACAAAGCATGAGGTGTGAACGGATGTCATCACGCTGTTTGAGAGTAAAGAAATCATCGGGGATTTCTGGATTCAGCGCATCCACGATAAGGCTCGGAGAGCAGTAAGCAGCTGTGATGCTCTGCATTGCCTTTATGTCGTTGATCCATATGGCCCTTGCATGATTCCGGACTGTGCCCTCAGATGCGCGGTGGTTCTTCACTGACTTAACAAGGTCAATAATCAGCTGGGAGTCGCATGGGTTGCCCCTGCACTCCTGAGGGTCGGGTCATGGATACCAAGGGCCTTCAAATCCTCTATAACAAGCGACAGATGTGGGATTCCAGAAAAACTGCTCACGGAAGCGAACACTGACAGGTTACGGAAGTGCCACTTGAAGGCAGAGCGCAAGGTGTCCACAACGGAGACCGACCTGTCTTCTTCTGCAACCCGGAACATAATATATTTTGCTAGCAGATGTGCTGTGACCTCAACAGGTTTCTCAAAGGCTATGCACGCATCCTTGTGTCGGAACAGACCCAGCTCCGACTCATCAACTCGGTCCTCAGTCAGGCTTGTGTACTTAATGCACTTAAGTTTGAGCCAGGTTCGAGCTCCATTAATTGCGGAGTTGTAATTACGAATGGTAGAGGCCGACCGAAGGTGAGCCTGGATGTATGCGCTAGCTGTACTTGGGCCTGACTCCGGCTGAGCATAAGGAATCAGCTTCTTCCGAAGTTTTGTTGCCTTTGCTGTAGCTGGGCATGCAGATTTAGCTTTCGGCATAGCGAGGGGAGAAGGCAGCAAGAAACAAACTGAATGCCCAACTGTTCTCGGTACCGGGTCACAAGCATCAAGCGTCTGTGCGCAGAAAGTAGGATGCGCGGTCTTCCTCAACACCCTATGGCTCTCCCCCCATTCCGAGTCTTCCACTGCAGATTGAATTATCTAACTATATTTACAAAGTCGGCAAGGACATCAGATACAATACTCATACAATTTTGGATACTGCCCACCGCTGCAGGTCAATCAATAGCGGATGGCAAGTTGGAGAGTAATCTCGATTGCCCTCATCCCCATTGATAAGATAATGGGGCAAACGGACAGTGATTGCAAGCACCTTTGTGTTTTTTATGATATGCCATACCAGCACAGGGTGCTCCCCCGCGCCCCCGGAACAGATGCACAGATGTATGATGTGCAACACCAAATTTTTTTTCGGAAGTATGGTACTTTTTTCGGCTTCATTAATGGTTCGTTTGCATCCACTCAACTTGAGCTCAATTTGATGTCGTCGTCATCGCGAGTCCACCGATCCTCTGTCCATACATTGACACGCAACTTGCACTCCACCCTGGTGGTACACATTAGTAACATACTGAGGTTGAGCCTGAACATACAGTTGTGGAGGCGTCTGCTGCTTCGGCAAGTAATGTTTTGTTTGCGGTGACTGTCCCATCTTTGCTGGTGGTACGGAACCCATTACGGGTGCTGGACACGGCGACATCATTGTTAATGATGATGGTGATGACGCTGTCATCGAAGTTGAGTTAGTTGTAGGGTGGGTGTGGGTGGAGATAGGAGTGGGTGACTTTGAGAGTAGTGTGGAATTGGGAGTTGATGAGGTGGAGGATGTGGGTGAAGAGAAAGATGTATTCATGGCGAGCTGAGGGCTAACAGGTGAATGGGAAGAAGAAGAAATTGATGTGGAAGGTAATGGGTGTCCATGATGAGAGTGTGAACGAGGCGATGAAGTGGCCGACCCCAACGGTGTGGCGGCCCTTGAAGTGACAGGCATTGTATTCCCACTCTTGATATGGGTATTCTTCAATGTATTCGCTAACGTCGTCGTCATCATCGCACTCGAAACGGTATTCGAAGGCATCCCTGGGCTCATACCCATCACCGATTTGAACGGCTTCGAAGCAGCTTGTTGAGATGAGGGAGATTGAGGTGATGAACAAGTGGGTGTTGAAGGAGTTGATGGTGGTGTGAGTGAGTTAGAATGGGAGAGTGCTGAAGCAGAGGTGTTGAGTTTCCTGGAAGGCTTCGATAACGAACCTGTTGATCCAGCTCGGGGACGTGTGTGGAGAATTGAGAGAAAGACGTAAAGTTGTTTGTGAATGCATTTTCAGCATGATGACGAAAGTCGGGATGAGGGCCATGCTGTCTCGAATGAGCAGGTGATGGATGAGAGACGTCTGTGTGATGTCGCCGTCGCTGCTACCCCAGGGTTAGATGCTGATGAGAATGAAACACTGATGCTGGTGGGCAGGGCTCGGCATTGCGAAGTGAGGTGATTGTGGCTGGCGATGTTATTGAAACATCGCGATGTCAGATACTGACAGGGCAGAACGAGGAGGAGCGGTGGCGCGATAAAGAATTTGAGGCGTCCCATGGTGTACGTCCATCAGCAGCGAGGGTTGATGTTATGGCAACTGTTGCAGGGATGGATGAGGGTTCATACTCCCCGTTCATATGTATGGGTGAGCCAAGATTTGGCAAGTTGACGTGATGCTGCATGACAGGAGAACCTACTGGATTACCGTTTGGAGTGTTGCCATTTATATCTGCCTGACCACTGCTATGACGTGGCTATTGTCTCGCAGGAGGCAACTCCAACAGCATGCCCATGGTGGACATGTTCATCACTGGTGGCGCCCCATTCGCAGCATTGTTCGCCATATGGAGGCCATGATAAGCTTGAGGTGGTGGCATCATCATCATGCTGTTGCGAGGTACACCGTAATACTTGGTGCTGCGGTAATACTGTTGCACCACGGATATCTGAGATGGCTGAGATGGTTGGGATGTTCCATTTGGGATGGGATATTGCGGCACACCTTGGGGGCCCGGCGTATAGTTGAACGGTGAAGGAGAGAACGAAGGAAGGTCAGTTGGGAGGTTCAAACGAGACCACCACCAAGCTGTTCCCTGGTTCTTTAGTTAGGATGGGGAAGTGTACTAGTGTTGTTTATTGTAAATATAGTACCAATCCGAGTGTTTTGGCTAATTCTATTTTTATGGGTTAGTTTTAAAGTTCCTGGGAATTGACTTACAGATAAACCGAGCCCTGCGGAGCTGTTTCTTTATTGAAATTTATTAATTTGTCTAGGTGTAATTCTGTGTAGCGTTGTTTAATTTGGATTTAAACTTGAATTTAATCTTCTACTTGGTGAAGTTTCAAAGATTCTATTCAGTTAATGAATTTGGATGGTGTCTGGAGTGTCCCTTGAGTTCGTTTTATTTTTTGTCTTTATTTTATCGCTTGTTTTAACAGTAGCAAAATAACTGTTTTGTGTATACACTTTGAAATCTGGAGTGTTAACCAGCTCTCCTGTTGAAATATCTACTTAATATTTCTCTCCTTATTTGCTGCCTTTTACTACAGTGGCAATCTTAACTGTATATCACTTTTTCGCACTGGAGTGACAACCAGAAATGCTTGAGAAAAATAATACTCTATTTTCTTACTTCTCTAAGGGGGGCGAAAAGTCGCAGAAAGGGTCTCCCTTTTATACTCCTTGGGTCGCCTTCCTTTTTCACACTCTACCTTCTATTTACAGGATTTATTTACAGTGTATTTTTCTCAAACTGAATAAAAAGTGAAATTTTCACGCTATAGTTCCACTGCGCTTTGCTGCGCTGAACTGCGGCTCTACTGCGGTCAGACTGCGCCTGGAATCCTTATTGTCCTTCCTCGCCTAAGCTATTTTAATGGTTAATTAGAATTTGTCTGCGCCGCATTTGCCGCAGTTCCCTATTTCAAATTCCCCATATTTCCCATTAAGTTCGCTATGACTCGGTCATACTGAATTCAAACCTCGCATTACTATGCGTGCGACTGTGCTGAGACCTTCAGCTGATTTATTCCAATTTTATTTAGTGACATTTAGTTAAAATGAGACTGAAATGATAAATGAGTGAATTATTCAGGTTTAAAACTAAAAGAAAAAGTTGCTAGTAATCAAGAATTACTCAAACGAATGTGTTATAGCTCTCTACTTCATTAGAACATCGTTCCCTAAAATTCCCACCATGGTCCGTCGTAGTTTAGTAGTTTTCGTGAATTTCGTTCATATTCCCTGATTCCCCTTTGTATTATCACATCCTAATCCTCCATATGTATTGTTCGTTGTTATAGTAGGTCGTCCTCGAAGATATCATATTTTTATGTATTTTATTTAGGGCTCTAGACCTCTTGAAGCTGTCTTCCCACGTGTTTTCAGGTTTCTAACTTCATGTCCTTGTATCTCATTCATTTCTGGATGTTTTCTCACGTTCTTGGTATCATAAATTTTCATTTATTCCCACCTTTCCAATGGTACTAAGGTTGTGTCCTATTTCCCTGTATTTGTTGAGTTAGCAAAGTTTCGCACACACATTCGGTAATCACGTGCGTCGTTCCCATAGTTGTTCGTATGCGGGAGCCGTTTTCGTTTAGTTGTTCGGGATTTATGATATGCGCGGGTGTTTATTTCTTTCATATGGGCTTCTGTGATTTATTTCAGATTTTTCCCTCATGATCTAAGGTTGTTTTGCACTTTTCGTGCTTTGTTTTGACCGGGCTCTTCCTTATTTGGACGGAAATTGGTCTTCGCGATCTGCCGAAGTGCGGATCTCGGTTCCGACGGCCGGTTCCCTGCGCATCGCCACCCTCACGTGTCATTACACATGATGCGGATTCCTATATTCCCGTCATGGGTATAACTTCACAACGGCTGGACCGTTTGGGCTGAGAATTTGCATAACTGTAGTTTCCTATTTCTCATAATTTCCGTGTAAATTTCGTTGTATGTTTTAATTATGGATCCTACGCAATCATCGTCTTGTCCCTGAGCTCGGACTTTTGATGTCGCTATTCCCGTTATTGGATTTCTCATTAACGCATGATCCTTTTATTATGGAAATTTGGGAGGATCAAGAGTAGATCCTTTCCTTTCTAATGGGCTATCAAGCTTGTCTCGGTCGTTACTAGTTAATCTTCGCGCTTGCTTTTTAGACATTGTCCTCGTTTTGCAGGAGTTTTAGTCATATCTCCGTCGTTTATGGGTAGTTTCCCCTGTAATTACTCTCATTGGTTCCGTTTGGGTGACATCTACATTTCCTATTATAAACACGACTTTGACTTTTGCATTAGTTCCTGAGGAATCTTTGTTCCGTGGTACTTCCATCCTTGCTACGTGTGCGGACGTGGGAAAGTAGTTTCCGTGGAGGTTCTCTGATTATTTTTATAGTCAAATCTTGGTCGATTGTCCTAATTCTTGGTTTAATATTTGCTATAAATTCCCCCGAGAATTCCGTCTCGTTGATGGTAAGCTTGAAGTATTTTTGTTATTTTTCTTTCTTTCGATTTATCGTGTATAGTCATAATAATTCGTAAAAATTCGTAAAATTCGTTAAAATTCAGGTCCTTCTATGTTCTCATATCTACTTGTCGTATGAGGTTTTTGTGATTTATCTGGCATATTTCCATAATGGGTTTCCATAGTGTGGCCGTTATTTCTCCTACAACGGTAATGTGCTGTGGAATGGCATGCCAGTGATTTGAGGCACGACCACGGGGGACTACTGCATGATCTGAGAAGGCGGACATGTAGGAGAGTTTGCGTAAGACCCGAGTTAAGATCTATGGGTGAAACGGAGGGAGTGGGTGGACGCATGGAAGTTGGGGATAAATGAGGGGAGGGATTGTATGACGGAGTAGGTTGTGGAGGCGCTGGGCCTGCAGAGGTTTGGGGTTGCGATGAAGCTGATGTTGTCTGGTGCCACGCTGCCATAAGTGCCCGTTGACCAGACTCCTGTTTAGCGTTGGCATACAGTTCAGCGTTGCGGATGTGGCCTTTGTTCACCGATAACCCAATGAGTTCCGATTCCCCAAATAGAGAAAGACGCAAGGGAATATACCTATCATGGCAGATGAGTCCCGAAGACCTATGCATGCAAATAAACACCGTACTGAGCGTCAAAGTCATCAATCAATACCCATTGCTCCTCTTCCATCACTACCACATCATCGTCGAACCTCCACTGCTCATTGATCTTCCGCACATACTCATCCTTCATCGCCCTCATCTGACTTGATATGAACGGTCAACTCTTTCGGTGAGTGGGACCAAAGTCCACCCTCAGATGAGAGAGTTGATGAAAATAATTGCGGAACTGGGGTGGGGTATTCTGAGGATCTCCTCTTCTTCTTCCGTGGAACGGGCAACGATCGATGAATGATGGCCTGCCTCGCCCTGTACGTATTCGGATCGAGAATGGTGAACGTCCTGTGTGCTCTACCGAGGGCTTTGATGGTGATACAGCGAAGGAAAGAGCGTGAAAAAAGTGAGCTGAGATGGGTAAACTCATCAGGAGCTAAAATAGGCAGACAATCAGAAAGAAGACAATTAATATGTGAATCTTGACTCTGACATCTAAATAATCCTCCCAGCCTGAGTTCTTCACATTGGCGCTCGATCTCCTTAGCGAATGACTCGGCATACTCATGTAGATGCACCACTCATGTGGATGCACTTGCTCTTCAAGGGCCAGATAGGGCGAATTTAAGTCTGTAGGATCCTTACTTTGTCACGGTATTTTCAGCGACATGGCACTTTTTCATGTTAGCAAATTAAATACCCTCAGTTCCATCCTTGTTGACTTACTTCTGCTCCAACATCATCTTCAGCCGCTTGGCCAACACGCGTTCAGGGTCCATGAGTAGTTGGTCATCTGTCCTCAATGAGAACTGTGGATGCTTCCTCTTCAATTCGATAAACCTGATCCTCGCTTCGAGAACGCTATGCGCATCCTTATTGAGCTCCAACTTCTTGACCTCACGCAAAACGGTTAAGTTAGCGAGATCTTTTGCCTTGATAAGCTCCTGCCGTAGCCATGAGACCTTTTCGGCAGGTGTTGTATCCATCCGATGGGTCTTACGGACTGACTTGACATCTCGTCGATGAAAACACACGTAAGCATCTTCAGAATTGGATTCGTTGAACTGGTGGGCTTTCTCAATGGGTGTCAAATGTAACTTAACACACAAACACTTACATTTAATGAGGGTATTATTTTGTGGCCTTGGCGAGCGATTTTCTGCTCCTTGCAGTGGGGGTATATTGTTCAAGCGGGCCGAATAAGATGAGAGGGGTCTCAGACATGGGGATGAACTATGAACGAGGTGAAAAGAGTTGGGGATAGGGGTTAGCACAGACTTGGCTATAACATCAATATCCCCAAAACATTCATCAGTGACTCACAGGGTAAGGGCCAGCTACATGTGTGGAGAAGTCGATAAGGTTGGGACGGAGTGATGCCCCCTCTGCTTGGACAACAGCGACAAAACAAGCGGCAATCATGTCGGCCTCTCCGGGTATCCCGTTAGGACCGTGTGCACTGTGGATGCCCTGCGCGAGAAGTCCCTTCCATTTTGAGCATATCTGCAAATATGTTTCATGTTGGAGGGCTAAGACAGCGCCCGCTCGATACAATGCCAGACACTCCCATAACAGGACAGTGGGAATTGGATGGAGGTTGGTCATGGCGACCCAAATATCGTGGCCAACCCACAGTCTCCATTGGAGTGCATAGCCGAAGACATTTCACAGCGCGTGAGTTCTTGTGCTGGCAACCCAGAAAGCTTGGCCCAGGCTTTGTTTGGAGATGCTCGATCTGACTGAAATTCGCTCACGAGACTAGGGAAGCAAGGAAGGTGTGACGGACATCGTGAAGTGGAGAGAAAATGGTTCAGGGTGATACGACTGATTCCTCAAGCCCAGAGCTGCATGGTTGCTGGGGCATGCAAGACGATGAGACCATAGCACGACAGCCACATGGCAGAGAGTTGTTGAGCGACAAACCCGGCAATGTCCGATAGTTCTTTCCACCTTTTCTTTTTCCCCCCAAATAATCCACCATTGATTCGTTTGAATGTATTATTAAATCCTCCTTCTATCGGCCTTCTATTGATGCTTATAATCCACTTATACAATACTTATATGTACTTATCACTTCTATTGAGGACAATGGGGCCATGCAATTCCTTGCGGACTGATTATGTAGGATAGATATTCCTACCTTGCATCCTCCTGTAAATTATCAGGCAGCCAAAAATTGACATGAATTTCTTACACTCAAATAGTCGTGCCCCCGTCCAGCTATTGTATTGAGTTTATTCTTGCACACTGTCCATAGGCTTGAATGTGGCATATTTGGGGCTGACTTCGACAGAGATAGGATCACACCACCTAGGCCGCTGTCTTCCAGCCAAAAATCAACCACTCTCTCTCGCCAGGTAAGCAAGCCAAAGTTTTCTGCCATCAACGTCCCACAATTGAGACAACTAGGGTTCACTGAATTGATATTATTGAATATTCGCACCGTAATGTACAACGCACATATTAATTATTTCTTTTACAAATAACAGGCTCACGGAATTGGGATCATTGAATACCATTCATACAATATTTCCCTCGAATTTACGCACCCAGTCCTCGTGATCGCTCTTACACATACACAACGAGGTTCACTGAAAAAATTTTTCATTCCATTTCTTTTTCTTCTCAAACTCACGTTGACTTTTGTTTCGATTGTATTTAGGGAGTGTTGAATATTAATATTGTACATGAGAAAAAAAAGACTGGGACCGCTGGCAGAAATGACGATGTTGGGAGGAGCTCGCAAAAATGAGGGTGTTGGAAGCGAGGTGTGCCAGGATGGGCAGGTGGTGAGAGCCACCGAAGGTGCATGGAGCCAAAATGATGGGATGGAGGCTGGTGTGTGGAGCAAGAAAAGAGGCGAGATGAACACTGCTGACATGTGGCGATTTCATCACAACGATATTGGCCGGTGGAAGCGACAATGAAGGGGGAATTGGGCAGGCTGTGTCGAAGCGAGCAGAGAGGCGAGCGATGAACGCTGCCGATATCGAGAAATTTCACCGCACATGAGTCAAGTCTGAATGAGTAGACATCAGAACATCAGAACGTCGGCAGAGGCGATAAGGTAAGAAGAGGGTCAAATGCACCAGTTCGGGATCCGTGTATGGGGAGAGGGGGGGGGGGCGAAGCACTTGCCCGCAATGGGGACGGCTTTTGTCTTGGCCTGAAGTATGGTCGAAATCCATGTCTACGCTGGCAGGACACAAGGCAGCTCGCTGAGACGTGTGACGCTGGCCTGTGGGCGTCGAGCATGGTGCGTTGGACCACTCGCAAAAACCGCCAAACTGCAACCGCCTCCATCGATGTTGAGGCCCGAACCGACGAGCCATGCCTGAAGTCGATGCACCAGCACCGTCGAGCACGACATCCGACCGAGGCACGAACGGGGCGTCCACTTGCTGTCGGCTGTCAAAGCCCAGCATGGGAATCGCACGTGCCGTTGGTTTGTTTTCGTTTTTGTGTTTTCCTTTCTTTCTTTTTTTTTTCGCGCTCAAGTCCAGTGGCCCATGACCATTTGAGTTCCAGCTGGACAGCCACGGATGGAAAGCGATTTAGCATTCAACGGGTTCAATTGCGCCAGATGTGCGTACTTAGAGTGTTATAGAAATGGGAATTTCCCATTCTAGCCTCTTCTGGGCCTTGCACACAGCCACTGTCAGGTGATTTGTATGGCACGTGCCATTAATTAAGTTTAACCAATCAACAATTAACCAAAAACCCGCTGTGCTAACTTCTGTTACACCACATGTCAAACCATCTGTGAAACCACCTGTAAACCATTATGTCCAACCCCCTTCCCTATTCCTGCGCCAGAACGGACGAAAATGGGTGCTTCCGGCCCCATTTTTGTAACATAGAGGATTCCAATTACTCTGCACACAGAGTCACTAACCACTCCCGATATTACGCAATTGGTGACACTGAAAATTTGTCATTATCTTCCCTTTTGGGTTGTTTCCTTTTCTTTACATGCTTTCTTTTACGTCATCTTGCCTGTCCCTTCTGTCCCTTTACTTTCCTTCCACCATTTCCGCTCCCACTAGCTTAAAGTCTCGGTTTAATCATATGCCTTTTCTTCCTCTTGCACGCAAAAAGGTGTCAACATGCTTGGTGATGTTCCCATGTCTGACTATTCCATTGTCTGTCCTTGTGCACGGTGGTCCGTGAAGGTGTATGCTGGTTCCACTGTGATTTGTCGCCATACCACCTTCTTTTTTGCTTTGCCTTTAGATAATTCCAGACTCCAAATGACTGGAAAAATTGGATTGTGTTTGTCGGATGTCTGCATTCCAATTAAACACATATTTTTATAGCCTAAGTATATTTGCGAAACAAACCGAAAAAAAATAGAAGTAGATTCATGCTGGGACGGGCGAAAGGAAACAAGGGCTGTGCAGAGTCAAGCGAAGCGCGAAGCACAAGCACTCTAGTCCCTCATTAGGGAGTTTCATGGTTGACTAAAGTGGGCTAAACTAGATCCGAAGTGAAATTTCTAAAGTGGCACGTGAGTGACAAAACTGGACCTAAACTGCATCTAAACCGGCCACTTTGACTTGGGGCTCAAGAGCCCCAATTGGCCTAAAGTCAACTTTCTAAACTGCATCTAAACTCGGGCTTACTGCTGATAAATCTGCGGACCCTGAGAGTGTGTCTACTATACAGTTCTTCATCCCAGATCACCTGTCCACTTTCATCAACCATCACCATCATCTCATCTCCACTGTCTCCACTGTCACTGACTCCAACATGGTCTTGGACTTCAATGGGAACCATCATAGCATAGGCTGCTAGGGACATGGAGTATGTGGCTTGTCTCTTTCTCCTTATTCTCTTTCACGCAATTACCATGTCACTGACACTTTGGCCTCATGACAGAGCACAGACACGTTCATACCACATCCATGCCTCTCCCTCAGTTCTCCATAATCCCAACCAGCCTGTGTTATGTTCATGTATTGTAGCTACATAATCATAGGTTGTAATGTCACTCATTATTCATTTTGAGAGTTGCTGCAAGCAGGGAGACAGGCATCGTGACATATGTACAAGGTGAGACATGGATGGAAACAAAGGTGGAGGAAGAGGGCTATGGACAATTGGATCAAATTGCGGTAACACACATGCAAAGGACACAGCACTTGTGTGACTTAGAGTGTTACATAATACAGTGTGGTAATGGACTTAGGGGAGCTGGGACCAAGGCACTTTTGATGCACTTCAGACCAGAGCACCGTGAACGCCCTGTTGCAAAGTTCTGAACTGGAGCTAAAGTTGCTCTAAACTGAGGTCTCACATGAGCCAAAATTTGGGCCAGTTTAGATGCAATTTAGAATCCAGTTTAGACTCAGTTTAGCCAACTGTGAAACTCCCTATTCTCATCATCACTGAGTTCCATGTCCTCCCTTTTCAAGTCCATCCAGGTGTGGGAAGTTCCCCATCAGATTGTACTGGGTTTTACCATCACATTAAAATACCTTCGAAATGCTGCTCAGTCAAGTGGAGTACCAGGGCTACCATATGCATGTGATTGTTGGGAGCAAGGAGACCATTGAGAAGAGTGGAAGCGCGGGGTGCTAATGTCGGTTTTGGGTTCCTTTCCTCATCCTTATCGGTTCGGGAGTTGCCATTTACTTTTGGAACTTCGTCTCACCTGTCATCTCTCTTATCTCTGTGTTCCCCCCACACTCATCCAATCAATGCTGGATATCCGTAATATGCGCAGCCATGTTTTTCTTGGCTGGCCCTCTGTTTTCTGCATCCTAATATGTGCTTCAATGCTTACTATTGTTGGAGGAACCGTGTGCTATGGGAGGCCGGATGGGTTTTCGTACAACCACATTCCTGCGGTAGCGTGACTACTTAGTCACAACACCTCTTTTATATTATTTCGGACTAACCCGTGCCAGGCCACGGATATATTCATTCATTTGAATTCATTTCCTTTTCCCTCAGTTCTTCACGCATATTAGCTGAGACTGAGGTTAGTTACATTCCTTTATTACTATTTCCTTTACTATTGTAACTTACAATATGTACATTACCTTTAGCTTCCCGCTTATAGGTAATATATTAGTTCTTCATGCATATTAGCTGAGACTGCGCTTCCCGCTTATAGTCCAGCTCCAAGGTCAAGTGTCGCTCATCAACAACTATTGCCAATCCAGGTTGAGCAATCTTGTGCAATCAGCTCATCTGATCTTGGCGATCAAGCCTGCATTGCACCCTTTGGTGGGAGCCATATCTGTGTCTGCTATTTTGTCTCTTCAATTCTTGAGTCTGACACTGTGGGCCCATGCTCTGTTGCACTGTGCACGCTTCCATTCCAATAGTCAGGCTTGTACAATTGGATGCATTCCCACGCGTTTTGATGTGTTCTTCACTCATTGATGCCAAGATTTTGGGCCAACTGACATGGAAGGATGCAGACCAGATGTGTCATATCCATACTCAGCCATCGACTTCCACTACCTCCGAACTCCCTGGACTACCTCCGCTCCTTCCACACTAACCTCAGAGCTCCCGTATTCCGCAACCACCTCTGCTTCTCTTTGATGGTCACCACCCCCTCTTTTCAATATATTACCTACACCTCCCCAAGTACGGAGCCCCAAAGGTTTCCAGACAGCTCCAATGTCCGCTAGTGCACTCCCGCCTCTGCTGGGCAATTCACTTGCTTGCCCTGCAAGCCCTCCTTCGGGCCTATCCCTCCTTTCTGTTTCTGGGTTATCGCCTGCCATTCCGCTAACCCCTCAACCCAACTGGTCGGTAATATTCAATCGGCTAATGTGTAACTCCGTTAGCTCCACTCTGCTCAGCCCCACCATTTACAGGCCAGCCCTCGTTGTAACTATATATACTCAACTTGTACATAGGTTACACCTCAGTAATAAAATCGACTAGAGTTTACCCCCTTTTAGTTCTGGTTGCCAGTTAGTAAGTTAGGGCATGGATGTGTTACTTGGCACAGCGCTCCTGGCATAAGTCGCTGAGGCTGAAGCCCTCCACCATGGAGACATTCCTTCGTCTCAATCTGGTCTCTGACAAGATGTGTTATCATGGCATTGCCCAATGCGCTGTTGCAGAGCCTGCACTGGTGCCTAACCACAAAGTGTGCCTACTACTACACTCTTAACTTTCCTCCCCTTCCCATTTCCTTGCTAACTTTCTACTCCAGGAAACAATCAAACTTCCCAACAGTGACTGGAATTGGAAGACAATAGCTTCCTCCACAGCTAAAAGGCAAACTCCCATTGGTGAGGTACAAAGAATGCTGGAACCCCACGGGTCAGGTTTCATGGATGAGCAAACTATGTGTTCCCCACCGTTCACCCCACCATTCACCTCATCATTTGCTTTGCAATCTACCTGCCATATTTGCCCCACTGATTATTGTCATCCTATCTTTGAAACTGACTTGCTCTTGGGACCTACGCCAGCCCCACAGACCCCAAGGGGTTATCCCTGCAAAGGTGTGTTCAAGCATGAGGTTTAGCATGAGGTTTTCCCTGCACCCTCAGTATAGCCTTGGGGCATTATTTTCTCCAACACTTGCAATGACAAGTGCCAGTGTATGTGTGTATTACTATATACCAAATGAATATATTATGATTTACTATTAAAACAGGCAGGGTTACCTATCAATAACTTCCAGGGCACCCTGTCAGTATTTCTGGGGTACCCCATCAGGATGGCCCTGTCAGACTGTGCATATCTGATAGGAGGTCCTGGCACTTGAAATCTGATGGTTGGCCCTGTCAAATGGTAATGGGGCTACCTAGCAGGGCTGGTACCGGGGCAATCCTACACCATCTGCTGGGGTTACTTCCCACTGTGCACAACCGTGACCTTGCTTGCAGATTATATGAACACTGCTAGGCCACAAGCAAGGTAATTGTAAGCCTCACAAGGATGACTCAAGCTAATGTTATGAAGTCATAGAGGCTGCAGTGATTTATTTTTTCAGGGGATTTGGTTTTTGCTTCCCTGATTTCTTTTTATGGACCAACAAGGTCGGCTTGTATTTATTAGGATGTTAGCATTTTATGCTCAGTCAATTGTTGTTGAACTAATAGATTGAACTAATTACCTAGCATTTTATGCTAGGGCACATGAGGATACATGAGTGACAAGACAAACATGTGGTAAAAGCGCAGTCTCACCTCAGTCAATCGTTGTTGAACTGAGGGAGACAAAAGTGAAAAATTGTCCACTGCTTTTATAACCAGTCACCTCAATGGCACACTGACTTTGGTAGCAGGAATACCAAGAAAGGAAATATAGCGCTGCTAGCTCAACATCACATTGTGAGTTGGCCACAGTGCACAAGAAAACCAAGATTTCAACAGTATTTCTCACCTTAGCTGCAGTAGTTGCAGCGGCCGGAGAGATGACCGAATTGTGTGTTGGGGCATGTGATCAAAAAGTGTCAGAATTCCCACGAATTATGACCTGGGAAGTGACCTTGCAAGCAAAGACTTTATACTGATGAGGGTGGCACCACTCAATGGAGCTGAAAATGGTCAGATATGACAGCTTGTGCGACAGTGTTTGTAACTTGGCCATCGAAATAGCACGCAGGGATAATGAACAATCCTGTACATCCGCTCACTGCGACGCAAGCGTCTTCCTTTCCATTACAGTCACTACGCTGTCACTCTAATGAGTTTCCCGCCAGCCTTGATTTCGAATTGATCGGCAAATCAACGACGGTTGGCAGGACTAGGGTATTCTGCTTGGTCCATCTAGGGCCAACATCACGAGCATTAGAGTAGTAGAAATCATCCTGCGTCCAACTCTTGAGCTATTTACACTTAAAAGGAAGGCCATGTCAAGATGGGTTCAACAAGGTTGGAGGTGGGGAATGCATAGATTCTCACCACTTGAGCGGCTCTGCAAGTATGAAGTATTTGATCAGGGGAACCGCTACCTGCGCTATCTTGAACACGAATGCAAACACTTTGGACGGGCGGACATGGAGCGCATGCTTAGTTGTGACTGGTGTTGGTTGTAACTGGCATGGTTGTGACCGTGGTTCTGAATCGACCGTACATACAAGATTTGAGTCGTGAGGTTGGTTGCCTTGCGGCTCATGATAAGCGCACGCGTCTCGCTCTCTCTCACCTGCTTGTTCCTCCCCTCTCTTGCGTAAATCAAATTCCGCTGCTAAGTTTTCTGGGGTGTTGGCCCTTGCCCGTGGCTTTTTGATTTTGATTTGATGAGTTCCTTTTTAGCTGGGTAGTATTCCCGATATGTATGTGCGTGTGGGATTTGACTATGTGGGTCTTCCAGTCTAACTTGCGCTTCGTTGGGTCTGAACAGTGGTGGTATGTCGATAGAATATTAATGCTCTGTGCCTGCCACCGGATTTTGAGCCGTGCGTGAATCAGTCAGGCGAATAATCGTGCCATAATTTATGCACTGATCCTCGCACGTTGTGGGCGAGAGTGCTGCGTCTTCATAAAATGAAACCTTACCTCTCCAGCCATTAAACCGAGGAACTATATGTCTCGTTTAGCAGTTGGTGCCGTAGTTTCATCGAGAAACTCCGGATGTGTCAACAAGATTCGTTCATCTCCATCATAGGTGCCCGCCCCAGTATAACAGAATCCACACAGTCGCAGGGTCCTGCCTGCATTAGCGTCAACCATTATAATCCATCCAAGCAACTAAGTATGTTAAGGGTGAACAGTGCGCCACTGGTCATCTCCCTCTACTTGGTATTCGCCGCCTCTGTTAGCGTAAACCGGTTTCACTTGTTGTCCAGCCTGACGGTAACGTCAGAACCGACGATGCATTGATCTCCTTGATGCGGGCGATCACGACTCTCAATGAAGAGGAGATCTCCCGTGGCAGAGAATGTCGTAGATGTGGCAGAACCGAAGTTAAAACCAACGTAGACATCAAAAGTGACGGATCTAAGATACGATAACATGAACAGTAAAATAAAACTCATTTGTTGCATAAAGGCATACTAGTGATGATCAAGAACTCTTGTGGCCGTGGTTGAACAGAGGCACCACTCATATCAACATCGTAGGAAATTCCGTATTACATAATGTAGAACCACTTTTGGGCGAGCGTTCTACCACTGCAACTGCTAGACCAATGGCCGGAAGACATGTATGCTGACCCAGAAGAGATCGAAAGACCAGGCGCTAATAGATGTGCCATATTAGGACGATCCAGCGGAGAGGAGAACGATATCTCCGACGATCCATTTGAAGAAGAAGACGGGCGGCGCATTAGGACACACGGGATAACGATCCAAACTACTAGGGTTTCAAATTGGCAGACCTTGTTCTATGCCACCAAGAAGAGTAGAGACCTTGCCGACTGTTGGCATGAGGTTGTAGAGTGATGTGAATGTCGCAGCTACCTGACCAGTAGGTGCAACTCAACTTCAGACGGTCATACCCCAGGCATGACTTGGATCGAAGTCGCACTTGCGATTGCCCCTATGTCTGACCACATGAGCACAATAGGGTTATATCCCTGACGCACCAGGACTGGTGTGAGCATGATATGATGTGTCTGCCAGTTACTGTTCAAATATATCCTTGACAACACTCAGCATCAAACTGTTGTCTCAAGAAGGAGGCATCAGTGGTACTCGGGTTCTTCCCACCAGAAGCGCTCAGCTAGCAGCGCCTTCAACAACGATGCTGCCACGGGAAACCTTGCTACCTGCTCCTGCGCCGGCGAGAATTCCGCAAAGAACTTAAAGTCTATTCAATAGGCTCTGAGATTTCAATACGCCCATAGGCACGTTGTATTGGGGGAGATATGGTTCGGACCGCTCCAATTGTTCCACCAGAGGAGGCCCAGCATAGACGCCAGCGAAAGATTAGGAACACACCCAGCTCTCTATTGGAGGATAGACCCTGGAAGCGGCAGTACAGTAGCAAGCAGAGGGTTGAAGTGGGCGTACCGGCTCCGAGATGAGCCTCACGCAGAAATGACGTCACTGCGAAAAACGAAATATCAGGGAAAAGTTGTGAACCCTAAGTCACCTTGCGCCAGCGGGGCACTTGCGCACTCCCAAGCATTGAGTCCTCAATGAATAAAGTGCAGCCAAAAATATGTCAACAGAGAGTGGGAGCCCGTTATGTAAAGTCAGCGTTGAGGTGGATTCAGTGGTCTCAGTGTTGGAATCCAAGTCATGCTAGCGATCCCACATCTGACGCTATGTCATCGATTAGCCTCCCACTATTCCGACACCGCCTCCCCGAGTATCCGTGCGCCAGTCGACCTGTAGCATAGCCCCGATGTAGTACATTAGCTAGGCTTAATAATCATCTCTTGGTCTTACCTCAGGTCCCTTCGTTATAACACGAGTGTACCGCTAAGCGTTACGTCAATAACAGGGGGGGTGTTTGATCCGTGTGAGCATTGTTTGTGTTCAACTTAGGTTGTCAGGGCGAGTGATGTGTGCGTGAATTTGCAAATAGTTGTCTACTACATATTGACCCGTTTTGACCACACTCATCCCCGTGGGAACCAATACAATCGTGGGGTATGCATGTCCCTCCAAACGGCCGTCCGGCCAAAGCCGAGGCACCTGCTCCATCACACTCGTTAGCGCCGTTGTAGGTGATGTGCGCGTCAATTAACGCCAGCATAACATATGTTACACTATAGATACGACTTCAACCCTGATTGCGGCTCTACATCCACACGTCCCGGTAAGCGCCCACAAAATCTGTCGATCCCACCCAGCTTTACCATCCACCGTTCCACAGCTCAAGGTTGCCACACACGATCCTTTATATTACTACAGCCATATAGGTACGAGTTGAACCTCTGATCGCGGCTCTACGTCCACGCGTCCCGTAAGCGCCCAAAATCTATCGATCCCACCCAGCTTTGACATCGTGCCATGTAAACGTTGTACTCCATTCCACAGCTCAGGGTTGCCACACACAATCCTTTCCAGCCCTGTCGGCCATCTCTGCGCTCATAGAAAACTCCATTTCCGGTTAGTGTTCTCCCTGTTTGCTCTCGGCGTTGCAGCTAACAAAAACTTTCTAGATATCATTGAGGGCTCTTCTCTTCATCTTTAACCGCAGACGACTAGAGGTGCTTTGCGCATCGCTAGTGAATCACGGTTACCGTGAAGATATTTGACTGACGAGGGCCAGAGGTTGTATTCAACACCGCTGGCACTCACGGTCATCTTGGTCTTCTTGCCCACCCCCTGCAACGCCAACCTCCCGTTCTAATCCTGCGCAGTACACTCGACATTCATACCCCCCCCAATCAGCTCTTCTACCCAAACGGTGCATTACATCACGCGCCGATATCCAAACTTCTAGTTCAGCGTTACTCGTGTACGGGCCCGCAAGTCTCACTGCCTGTGGTTAGGCATTCCTGGCACCGCAGCAAACGTTTTGCGCATCGTCTTTTAACATCAAACGGCACTAACAACCCCACTCGGTGGACATTGTCCCTGCCCCGGATTGTGTACTGTCGATTCGTCCAATCCTTATTCGTGGTCTCGTACTCAGGTTTGGCTTTCTGGACATCACTCGCACACCAAGCGGCGCTTACATGACGTGCCAAACGGTGCGATCAGACACGAACCTCAACCTTACCCTTCTGCCACCCTCGACCTTCTGCACCCACCAATTGTGCCATCCAATCCGTGTTAGTGGACTCGTATTCACATTCGCCACTTGTGCACCACGCGCCCGAAACCCTGTGCTTGAGCGACTTGAGAAACGGCGGTGCAATTAGACAAGAACACCGTGCGCTCGCCACCGGCCTACCCCGTGTACTCCATACCCCGTAGCAAATACCTTTATAAGAGTAGTTCCAACGCTACGCCCCTCTCTCCCCGTCATTGAGGGCTAACAATCTCGTTAAATTCCTCGCCACCCTCTACCCCGTGTTGCGCGCCACCCTTTATCCAGTCCGTCTTAGCGAGCCCGTATTCACATTTCATCTGGATACTATGCGCACCCCATCCAGCGCCCAAGTGCTGAGAGAAACGGTACAATTCGACTGGGGCTCCCATCCGACCGACGTGTGCCCCACTGCATATTTGATAGTTCCAGCGCCATACCACTGCTCCACTGCCCACCAATTGCCCTGTTTGCCTATTGGTATGCGCCACAGCTACACACACTGACTGAATGTGCAGCTGACTGAGTATATCTTAGACTAGCCGCGCAACCGCTGCATACTTGTTGAGAAGAGCCTGTCCTGTTCTTTTCTGTTCACCCTATCTCTTAACGGCTACATACCATGCCGAGGCATAAGCCTGTAATTCCTCGCCTTACTACCTCTCCTGTAAAAAAGTATCACCCGTATAATTTAAGCAAACCCAAAAAATATGTGGATCTCCTTGGTGGCCAGTCTGCACCTGAATCCAAACCCTCAATGTCCAAAAAGAAAGGACATGAGCGCGTTCCAACCGCTGAAGTCCCCATTCCCCAGCCATCGTGACGTGTCGAGATAGCAAACGCCAGTGGCACCGTGATGACCCAACGCTGGGGGCCTGGAATCGCATCTAGAGATTGGTGGCCAGTGCCAAATCGCCACGATCATGTAGGAAATGCAATATCAACAGATGCCAGCAATGTTTCGACTCCCCCTTCAATGCCGGCTCTAAAAAAGGAATCACCAAAATGGGAGGCATCACCTCAAGGTTGGCTGGAAGGTATCGCAGAACCCGCTCTTTCAAACCCAGACTCTGCCTTGCCCCCTACACCTTCGCGGTCAGCTTCCCAAAAATGGGCCAAGAGAGCATTATGAAATCCACAAAAGCAAGCTGCATGGCTCCATTGGCGCCGCGATATAATACACAACGCACTGGAAATCTATCTAGAAGTAGAGGCAAAGAAGGCAGGACGCATACCCCTTGCCACCCCCAGCGAGATGTCATTTGACAGAAACGGAAAACTACAAACACCGGCAGTATCGCTGTGCTCTCACTGCAATGCGTCTCCCCAGTTTCATTCGCTCATGACGATCGCGTTCTCAGGTACATTTCCGTTCTGATCTCGCTCAACAAACAATGACCCAATGACCCTGGGCCAGGTGCCGTGTGGCGGACGTTCGAATATTGTGAATGTCCGTCTAATACTCTCCCGCTTAGCATCATCCAGTCTGGCTACTTTCCGGGGTCACCTGTAATGCCTCAAGTTGCCTTCCATTTCGACGTCCTTTCGCTGTATTCAGCCTTACATGTGGACTTGTATACCCCGGCTGCCTCCTTTCATGCCGCTTTGTTTTCCATGTTACAAGAGAATGGCTATGAGTTCACCCACAACGTGAGATTCATTTGTTATTTGTCAGGAATTGGCACGTTCATGATCTGGCGTTCATATAGGACCCTTTTCTCCAGTCGTTTAGTGAGGCGATCACTTGGTTCCAGGCCTTACGTGATTTAGTAGACGTTGAAACGGAGAGAGAATTCCTCCATCCCTCATCCCCTGCGGTGCCCGATGCACCGCTATGGCGTTCCGCGCTGGCTGAGTCCGCTGGGTCCATCCACGCCGTTCCTGCTCACAACGGAGATCCTTCGGTCGCTACATCCCATGGCATGGTATCTGTTGACCACAGCATCCCAACCTTCACAAAGACGTCACAGGATCTTCTGTCGATGGTCCCTGAGCGAGCAAGGCTCATTCGCAACCCATCCGACACCACCGCCAGCCCATACCTCCGTGCGAGATGCCCCCAATGTTTTGGAGGTTTGATATGGGGTAGTTCAGCCAACGAGTTAGTCTTCTCATGGATGTCCTCCGAGAACAGGTATACTAAGTGTTTCCCTAGATGTCCTGATGTCATCGTCGCTATGGATGGTAATATGCAACATAGGCAGTACATGTTCGTTGGAGGAGACATGGTCCTTCCCTGGAATGAAACCTGTACATTCCTCACCGATGCCGAAATTGAGGAAGCTGCCCTCCATGTCTCTGATGCACAAGCTGCATCTAGAGGTTGTTCGGAAGAATCTCGTCCCTCATCCCTTGTACCAGATGGTGCTATTGATGAATGTGAAGAATCACACAGAGCCACAAAACATGGAAAATGGACTGCCTCGAAAATGGATACATTCTGTTCGAAGGGTCTGATGGCAACTGTATGCCGTCATGATATCCCCCTTTTCCTCTGCGATGTACGCACTCCAGGTGAACAGCAGCACTTTTCAATTGCCATGCTCCTTGCACTCAACCGCCAACTACCCTCAAACACCACCATTGGATTAATGTATGATGTTGGATGTGTTCTCGATCGATCAATTGCCAAGGTATGACTTTGCGTAGCATTCAGGTACAACCTCTTGATATACAAACAAAGTACAATCTCATTCCCGAAATCGCTCCTAGATTGAGCATCGCCGTTTCAGTCTTCCATGCCTATGCACATCAATTCTGTTGTCAAGTTGCATTTCACCCCTGGAAACGAAATGGGTTCGGAAAGTCAAACGGGGAAGGAAATGAGCGGCTATGGTCCTTAATTGTTGATACAATAGCGCCTGAACGCATAATGAGTGTGAGTCTCACCAGGCCAAACACTGTTTGTTCGACAACCCTATCTTATCCAAGGTTCTCCCCAAACTATAGCCAGCTAAACAAATCACAACTATTGACCACAAAATCAAGAAGATTGCGATCCGTGGCCGAGACCGTCTTGCTTCATTGGCGAGGTCCAAACTGGCCGCCATTCTCCGTGAGGAGGCGCTTCTGATGGATCTTCTTAAAGATTTGGAGAGTGACAGGGGATTCACAACTCCTTTCCTTCGATCCCAGTGGGAAGAGCAAAAGACTTTGCAGCTCTCCATTCGAACTTGTATGTCTGTTTCCAATCCCGTGTTCGCCGTTGACTTATGCTGGTTATGGTCTAGACAATGACCAAGCCGGAATGAAAAAGTTCGCGAGACTTCTCGAAGCCGAACGGTCAGCGCAAGCACATTCGGAAGCATTGGATGCTGTAAAGAAGGAGTTGGACCGAATTAGCTTGGCGCGAACACTGTCCCACAGCCCTATCGATCTTGACGAACATTTCCAAGCTGCTCAGCATGTACGGTTGTTGCACGATGAATCTCAACAACGCCTACGAGATCTGACAGCTCAAATTGGCCTGTCCGATTTGAAACCTCCGCGAAATCCGTCTAGCACAGAAAGGGACTATATGGAGAAGTACATCCTGGCCCGATTCCGCAAACATGCCATCCTTATCCGCTTAGCCAAGTACCAGGACGAGATGAACCCTATTCGAAGCTCGCAACGGCATGGAGGACGACTCGTTACAAAAGTTGGTAAGCACAACCCCATTTGAGGTGAATGGTGATGTGCTTGAAGGCTTATCCGGTACTTATAGGCTACTCGAAGATGGTCTCAGTGTTCAATAGCGCAAAAGACCATGCCCGTGTTATTTCCGACCAGGTCGCGCGATATAACGAGCTTGTTGACAGCCTTGAGCGTTCCGATAGGCCCTCCTGGCTCCCGGATTCTTTGAAGCACACCAAAATGGACATCAAAATACTGCTTAACATGGATCCCAGTGATGAGCAGTGGACAAACATGTGGGAGAGCCTGTGGGTTTCCAACTGGAACCTGGATGAGAAACCACCTGCCTTTATTGTCGATCAGCAGGTTCACCATGGCATAGTAGCAGTGCTGTTGCTCGCTCGTATTGAGGAAGAAAAGCTTAGGCTCGCTCGAGAGGAACTCAACGTGCACACCTGGATTGTCCAGTCGGTAGACTCCATGATTCGGACCACAGACGATATTCATTGTATGTCCTACAATTCCCACAAATCACCAATACACTAACATTGATTCCAGCTCTTTATAAATATCGATGGCAACTACGCCTCAAGTTGTTACTCAAGTGCCGTGATGCAATCGTGAACGGACCATTTCCTTGCGTCAATCTGTGGCGTGCATCGACACACTACCTGCTTGCAAACCTAGAACATTCAGACCCCCAGGCTGCACCGAGTGCCATGGAGTATTCCTCCTTCCGCCTTCCCCCCCCTGGTTCTGCAACTCTATCCTCAGGAACACACGGCATAGACCCCAAAGACGATGCTGTAGTCACAAATGAACTAAGTGCACTCACTGGACTTATCCGGATGAGCCCAGAGCCGGATGACAATGACGATATTGATGATATCGAGCCCTCTACTGACAGTGGCAGTGGCCCAGGCGATACTCTCGAACCTGAGATACCCGTAAACCATTCAGACGGTGAACCAGAGATACGACTCGATGAGACAATGGACCCCATTGACAATCCTGATCCACACACTGAACCTCTTACGGACTTGGTTCCTCCTCATAGATTGAGAGATGCAGATAGTCCCGGCTGCAACAAAAGTATTGAGGAGAAGTTCTGGAACGAGAACCCCTGTCCCCAAAGTCTTCCTCCAATTACAACAATCTTCCATGCCATCCGTTCACCCACCCAGTCCATCCAACAACAAAAGCCAACCAAAATTTGGAAGGAAATAATGGAGTTGCTTCTGCCTCAAGACGCCGGAAAAGTAAGAATCCTCCCAGGCTCCCCAGTGACTCATGCCACTGATATCTCATTAGATAGTGAATGAGAGCAAAACAAGAGATAAAGCAAGATATTACAAACATATTGCGATCTTCCCTGATGCATTACTGACAGTCAATCGCCGGCGGCTGATACATGGAGCAATAATCGATGCCTACGTTGAGATGCTGCAAGACCTTACAGACGAAAAGCTACGGGATATCCTCAAGACTACTCGCCCCCGCGTGATCATGTTTCCTACTCAGTGTGAAGGAATGAGGCATTGTATGGCAGTTCACCTGTTGGATGTATGTGGGAATGCTTACACCGATGGACCCTGTACTAACCAACCTTCAGCGAGCCACAAAGAAGGTCCGAACTGATCTTTTTGACGCAAGCGCTTGGACAATTCCATGCTACTCAAGGAAGCACAGTCACTGGCTGCTTGGCATTGTAAACTTCGAACAACGAGAGCTGCGCTATCTTGACAGCATGCCTCTCCAGCAAAACGCTCATATAGGCCGTCATGGTCCACAGTGGGTGTTTACAGTGTGTTCCCAAACTCTAACCCGCATCTCAGTGTCAATGATACCTCTTTCATCAGATACTTCAGGGACTAGTCAATGCCACCTGGTTGTTCATCCACCCTGATGATGAGCATGGATACAACTGGTCCAATTGGTCCACTCAAGCAGTCACTGTAGGTGTGCATCTCGCTGAATCGTGAACATCATATATATTAAAAGCCCCAGACGGAACCGCGCCAATGGAATGGGTATGATTGTGGGGTTTGGACCATGGCTGACATTCAAGCTATACACATCGGACTTGATGCTGTGCCGAAAGACACGAACATTGACAATTTTCGGGATAGGGTGAAACAACAGATCCTTTCCCTTCCTCCATCGACACCGCGTTGGCAGCCTACCTGGAGAAGCCTGGATCCGGACCTCATTCATGAACTGCGGTGCCGAGCTGCTAAAGTGGCCGCAACATTTCCCGTTAATTATTCCGAGCTCGAAATCGATCACACGGACTTCCCATTAGTGATGGATGATGAACAAGAACAAATAGATTTGACCGACTAGTGGAGTCTATGTATGATGGATTCGTAGTCTGTATCTACTTTCTCCTGAGATACTGAATTCCCAACGAAGATGTCCCATTTCATGATTCGTGAAAAACTCACGGGTATGAAGTTGCTCACCTTTTCGCAGTCATCAGATCCGCTGTACTCAATCCTAGCTGGGTGTGAGTTGATTTGGATCTTGCTATTCACGCCAGAACCGTTTCCAGCGCCGCAAAGCAAGAGACAGCTGTTTAAACAACCACCTGTCCCAGCCGGATCGCGCACCACCACCAATGGAGAATGGAGCCATGATTGCTCATCCTTTGTGGCGCTTACAAACAGCTGTCAAGAGCCCGCTCAGTTTTCCGCTGCACCGCGCTCCCTCTCTTCTTAGTAAGGTGTTTCCTCACTCGTGAATCCTGGACTAGCATCCTGCAGCTCCCTCGCAGCTGCTAGACCCAATTGCCTTCTGAGCCAACGATGTCCTCCTCATGATTCGCACCAACCGTCACTCGCCTGCTCAATGTCTGCACTCTCAAACTTGTCACTCCACCTCTAGTTTAGCCGTTTAACACCACCAAGTGCGTGAAGGGTGAAGTTACTCCTCGGTAAGCCCTTACTGATTCCCTCCACAACGTAACCTCATTTGAAGGCTCCAAACTAGTTCGAAAGCTCCTTGTTCTTCATCCAGCACGTCCTCCTTTCTTTCCCCTCGTCAAGACATCTGCGTTTGATGTGGGTCGGTTCACCATTTAAGACAGATATCACGATGCTGACAAAGAGGCGCGGACCCTATACTTATCATCACGAACAGGGCATCTCTAACCATCCCAACCTTAGGACTGATCATTTCGAATTTAGGTGCTCCAGGCATATGGATAACCAGGATCGAGCCAAAATCATTTGGAGCCCTTCGATCTTTGGGATAGCTCCGCCCAAACAAGGGACCGCCCGCCATCACAAGCCCCCTCCGCAAGCTGAAGCAACGAGCATGGAAAGACTCTGACGCTTTTTCAGTCTGAGACATTTACCCCGGTGACAACCTGTTATCTTATGAGGAAAGTGCTTCAGAGGATGACAAACCTCAGCGACATTCACTAACTAATGCTCAGAAGCTCAACCTCATCCCAATAAAGCTTCGTGGCTCCACCACAAACTATCCCGCTATACATCATCCTTGATTCTGTTGTCATGCTTGTGTCAGGGACGCGTCCGGGGTCGAGAGGGCCCGGGGGTAGTGTCCGGCACTGAGGCCGTCACGGGGTGTGGAGCAGGCATGTGTACTGGCGGGCCTGATCCAGGACAGTGGTCCCTGGCCACTCAGGCTGAAGTGGAGAATGTGTTATTATTATTAAAAGGGGAAAACTATACTACTTACCTGAAGTGGAGAATGTGAGAAGAAGGTTACTTCTTCGGTTCCCACTTCAGGTACATTTATGTACATGCGGCTTGAGTCACATGACGGGTGCCACATCATCCTCGGAGGCAGCCGCAGGCATCCGGGTGTCCCCGTGGGGGATCCCGAGAGCATCTGCTGCATGTGCGCGTGCTGGGCACAGCAGGAAGCTGTCCGGGGTGTGTGGGCCGGACGGGTCAATAGTACATCGATACAAGGGAAGGTGGCCCGTGTAGATAGAAAGAAATAAACAGGAAGAGGAAGATGAGAAGAATGAAATAAAGAAAGGGGAAGGAAGAGGGAAAAGAGAGGGGAGGAGAGGGAGGAAGGAGGGGGGAGGGGGATAGACAGCGGGGAGCGGGTGTGGTGTGGCCAGGTGGGTCCGGGTGGACCCGGGTCAGGCGGGTGTGCCCTGACAGCTTGCTAGTGGCAGGTCCTCTGCCAGTCAACCTGTGAGATGGATAGTGTGTTCTCATGTTCTTGTGCTGGGCATTGACTCTGCTTTCCATAGGGTGTCCTTTCCGTAAAATGACCTAAGTGATTCGTCCTCACTTACAAAGTACGATAAAGGGTGAACCTCCTATTTGATAAACCCTGTCAAATAGACCCCTCGCATCTGTTCGTTGTGTGCTTCAGCTTTACCTCTTTCTTTGATGTTCATTGTGTGTTAGAATGGGGCGGAAACGGACGACTCCGGAGTGGAATCGGAGACTTAGCGTGGAGGGACCTTGGCCTCAGCGACTCAAGCGGAGCGCTGTGCCATTGCTGTTTGTCCATTTGGTCCTTAATTTCACAGTAGGTGAGCAGGAAGTCTCTTGGGGGCATTTCAGGTCGATTTCGGACTAAAACCAAAACGAGTATGTACAAGCGCCGATATATATAATGGAAGGGGCAAAAGCACAAAGAGAACAAAGGGTGACTGAATCGGAACGAAGACGTCCGAACAGGAACAAAGGGTAGAGGGGGCGGAGCGGTACCGAAGGTCATAGGGCAAGACCTGTGATACGTCCGAAAGGAGGTAGAGAGGGCGAGGCCCAGAGGGGCAGGAGGATGAGGGGAAGTGGGGATGATGACTAACTGGCTAGAATAGAAAGAAGCAGTAGTCCAAATAGGGATGAAGGGAAAACGCGAGAAATACATTACAGGCGGCGAGAGTGCTGAAGGCGGTCCGCGAAGCTCGGGGGTTGCGGAGCTTACGGAGGTTACGGAGGCAGGGTTGGAAGTCCGAGGAATATTGGCAATGGTGTTTACGTAGTATGAGGTCACCAATGCAATGGACTAAGGCCGAGGTGGAGTCAAAGTCCGAGGTAGGGACTATGACGGAGGCTCGGAGTAAGGTACGAGCGGTGTCCGAGTGCGAAGTACGGAACAGCGGTGGAAGGTCGTAACTTGGTGGAAGGGTGGCGGAGGAGTGACGGAGGGAGGAGAGAGGGGACAGGTAAGGGGAGAAGGAGTGGCGGAAAGGAGAGTAGTCAGGTCCGAAGGTGAGTATCGGAGCGGACGGGGGAAGCGTAGGAGGATAACGGGGGGGTGGAGGTGTTGTGAAGGGGGAGCGGAGTAGTAGGAGGGTGGTGAGAGGTAAGGAGGAGGTGTGTTGCCAGGACCGAAGGTGAGTATCGGAACAGCAGCGGTAGGTTATGACTCCGGAGGTGAAGAGGGTGGAGGTCCGGAAGTCGGGTCGGGGTCAGGTATGCATGGATATGACATTGTGCTAATTTACATCTACTTCTAGTATTTCCCCTGTTTGCCCAAAACATGTTTCTTTTTTGGCTTGCTTTTCTCCTACTTCGCCTTTCACCGCGTGATATGCTGGTTAGTTCTTCCCCTCTTTTCTTCTTTCATCATTGTACATCCCCGTGCTCAAGCATGAAGTTCTCAACCCGCGCTGCGGCTCTCGCCACACTGTTCCGACTGAAACTCTTGTCCATTTGCACACACGATGTATAGTAATTCAATGAGGCTGAAATATGTCAGAACAATGTATTTCGGTTCCCCTGCAAAAACACTCGAGGGAGTAACTTCTGGACAGGTACAAAATATTAAGAACAAACTTAAATGGCACAGGCGCCTAATTAGATCTCTGCTTGAAGTCTATGAACTTCGTTCTCCAGTTGCATGCATCTCGATGCCAATATTGCATATTCGTCGATATTGACGCCGCAGTGGGGGCACTTTGAGGATTCTCCAATGGCAGGCCAACGTTCCATAGCTGAAAATGGATCGAATTCGTCATCCATCTCTAGCCTACCTGAATGTGCCTGTTGCAGTGCCGGATATGGTGCCGGTTTGGCCTGTCTTCTCAGTACTCCTTAGTATCTGGTCTTGCCTATTATCATTATGGGGAGATGTCTTACCGGTTAAGTTTGTGGGCTCCCATTGAACGAGTGGCAGATATCTTGGTTGTAGCATTCAGGGGATCCGAGACAGGCCCTGGCTCTCTTATTTAACGTCATGTTAGCCTACACTCTATTTCTGGCTCGATTCACGGTTTTCTCCTACGCTTTGAGTCTTCTACGATGGTTGCGTTGTTGCAGTGTATTAGCCGCTCGGTGCTCATCAGGTGTTACGTTGTAGGAGAAATAATGGCCACACTATGGAAACCCATTATGGAAATATGCCAGATAAATCACAAAAACCTCATACGACAAGTAGATATGAGAAAATAGAAGGACCTGAATTTTAACGAATTTTACGAATTTTTACGAATTATTATGACTATACACGATAAATCGAAAGAAAGAAAAATAGAAAAAATACTTCAAGCTTACTATCAACGAGACGGAATTCTCGGGGGAATTTATAGCAAATATTAAACCAAGAATTAGGACAATCGACCAAGATTTGACTATAAAAAATAATCAGAGAACCTCCACGGAAACTACTTTCCCACGTCCGAACACGTAGCCAAGGATGGAAGTACCACGGAACAAAGATTCCTCAGGAACTAATGCAAAAGTCAGAGTCGTGTTTACAATAGGAAATGTAGATGTCCTCCAAACGGAACCAATGAGAGTAATTACAGGGGAAACTACCTATAAACGATGGAGATATGACTAAAACTCCTGCAAAACGAGGACAATGCCTAAAAGGGAAGCGCGAAGATTAACCAGTAACGACCGAGACAAGCTTGATAGCCCATTAGAAAGGAAGGGATCCAATCTTAATCCTCCCAAATTTTCATAATAAAAGGATCATGCATTAATGAGATATCCAATAACGGGAATAGTGACATCGAAAGTCCGAGCTTAGGGAAAAGACGATGTTTGCGTAGGATCCATAGTTACAACATACAACGAAATTTACACGGAAATTATTAAAAATGGGGAACTATAGTTATGCAAATTTTCAGCCCAAACAGTCCAGCCGTTGTGAAGTTATACCCATGACGGGAATATAGAAATCCGCATCATGTGTAATGACACGTGAGGGTGGCGATGCGCAGGGAACCGGCCATCGGAACTGAGATCCGCACTTCGGCAGATCGCGAAGACCAATTTCCGTCCAAATAAGGAAGAGCCCAGTCAAAACAAAGCACGGAAAGTGCAAAACAACCTTAAATCATGAGGGAAAAATCTGAAATAAATCACAGAAGCCCATATGAAAGAAATAAACACCCATGCATA